AGCAGTAGTGGGATCTCTGCATATCTTAGGAAGCCACAATAGATTAAATGACCTCAAACGAGCAGGAACTAGTAATGAGATTCTAGTCTGAATCCATCTTTCACTAGATTTCATTAGATGTGAACGGATGGAGGTAGCCTGGGTAAAAATGACTTTACCTTTCCCTAAAATCGCTAAACCTCCAAAGTGCAAGGCTATGTTTGTACAAGCCAACCTCGGTACTTGTCACTAGACTGCTATTCTGCAACACCAAGCTCAGTTTTCTTTATACACATCTACAACTACTTGGTCCCTGCTCTTTGTCTATTGGTCATTTACACTGCACTCGGGACAAAAATGCAGGAAGACTACAGTTTGTGACAGTTCAGTGCTGCTATTTCCAGCAGCTTCTAAGAACTGTGCACCTTCTCATTGCTGCCATGCACTCCCTTTATGACTCCATATGGTAACAGGTCTCATGATTGCGTTACAAAAATGTTGAGAATTTATCTGACCATGGCTACATTAAGTGACACATCTATCCAGGATTTCTGGAGGGCTACACAGCATTCTGGCTTGTTTACTGTCATTGCTGTTAGGTTTCCAGTGGGAGAGCAGTGACCCAGTGCACCACTTCTTACACACTCATTCACAGTGGTGGAATGGGATCAGATCCTGATGCAAAGATAGTGAAGTGTATGGGATAAGAGGGTAGATCCCCCCATCTAATTTTACAGATGAAACTGAGACAGAGGCTGCTTCTTATAGGACTCCAGGGAACTGGATGAAATTCAGAAGCAGAGAACAGTGCTTCTCTGGACACCACTGGCAGCATGATTACACAGCTGCAGCCCCCAGGCTGAATACATGACACCATTATATTTATTTGCCATTTTCCTTACTGATGGCAGGCTCCATTCAGCATATGGTTTGCAGAAATTTGTTAGCAACTGTTTTAAAGTTCCCCCTGAGATTCCAAATTGATGTATGAAGATCCAAGCTGTCTCTAGTACTTCTTATCACACCGACTAGGCTGCAAAAAGCAAGACAGCAAAGGATTGTCAGCCAAGTGGCTCAGCAGACTGTACAAACACACATAAGATGGCTCAGAGGAAAAACTACGCCAAATAAAAAAAGTTATCAGATTTATAGCACTGTAGGTCACACTAAGCTGGACCGATGCTTTGCCTATTATTTATCAGTTACCTTATTTGCTTTTATGGTTATTGGATACAGATGGTGTCCACAGATAGACACAGGCCTTTTAACATATACATCTGTTATATAATTGTCATAGTAGCTTTGCCACAACTCTTGGCTTATTTTAAATCTCCTGTTGTTTAGACCAGCTCCTGAAAGGCCAATGGCTCAGGACATCAGGAAACAGCTGAGTTGTTAGAATATGAAGGATTCAAACCCTAAGGTTTGCATTAACTTGGAGTCATCTTTTTTTCCAGTAAGAAATGTGGATTCAAAAATGAGGATAGTTGCTTTTCAATGCTAAAAGTTGTTGTAAAGGAATAAAGAGGAATTCCCCTTGGGTTTGGATTCTATTAAGCTGCAGTTCAATTTGTTTCAGAGGAGAGACCTAGATGTGGAACTGAGCTTCCTCAAAGTTAATTCTCAGAGCTGGGTATTGGATGTAGGTCACTCTCTGGCTTGTTCTGAGACTCAGCTGAGCTAGAAATACTGTTCAGTTTTCTCTAAAAAGTGGAATCCACACATATAATTTCTGTTCTATCCAGGTCATTGCCTCTGAAGGTAGTGCTACAAGGTATAATTGTGACATAAGTGCACATCTGCAACACGTGAGCCAGGGAAAGCTGCCGCTTCCAGGCTTTGCTTTTAAGGAGAGAATTCTCTGAACCAGTCTTTCCACATACAAACTCCTGTATTTAGCATGACAAATAGGCACTGCATGACATAATTGTTGGCGAAAGTGTCCTTCTATATATGACCTGAAGACACATTTTGGACAACCTCTTTTACCCTCAGCAGCCAATATTTTTTTCTACGTACTGTTCAATCACCCTCAAAGAACATCACTAGATTTCTGCTGCTGGTGGCGTCATCACGTTGACATCTACCTTTGTGGCCCAAGGTTCACATGTGCCATGCCAGTAAGCTGCAAAATATTAAGAGACTTCCTTTGTGAAAAAAAAGGCTGGAGGATGGTTTATAGGGATGAATTCATATAGCTTGGCTGACTCTGAAGTGGCCTTCTGTGTCTGACAGAGGTGTCTGAAGCAGAAGACTACAGAAAAAGTCCGTGAATATTTCTGTGTAACAGCGTCATCCAGTGGGCAAAGAAAGATTCCTAGGAAAATATTTGGGAAACCAGGATAGGCCATGTAAGAGCAGAAGTTTCTCTCCTGTATCCTGAGCTATGCAACTGCAGCCCGTTGCATTATAATGTCCTCACTGAGCAAGAGAGTGAGATGAAATCCAGTTTACTAGAAGCCAGAGGTTACATGTTGTAGAAATGTAGGATCAAAGAATCATAGCAACACAGGATCAGAAAAGGTCTCAAGAGGCCCTCCAAACTATGCCCTGTACCAGACAGTATCAGTTTTATCCTGTCATTTCAGCAGTGTTTGCCAAACCAGTTCCTAATGCCTGTTCAGGTAGAGATTTCATAGCCCCTTGATAGTCTTCTGCAGCATTTCATTAGTCTTAGAAAGTTTTCCCTAACATACAACCTGAGTTTTCATCGCTGCATTTTGGCCCATTACTTTTTAGCCTACCCCCTAAGCGCACAAAACAGGTTATTTCTTTCTTCTCAGTATCAGCCTTGTGCATGAGGACAATTACCTTGTTCTCTCAAGTTCTTCCGACTCTTAAATATAGCACTTCCTGTGCCTGTCTTGTTATTGTAAACCTCAAAAAGAAAACTCCTTATGTCCTGCAGACTGCCTCTGGGTTATACATGCCAGGTTGGCTCATTTCTTTTCATAAATGTTACCCCACTATAAAAGATTAATTGGAGCTCACACTCTTTTACATACCAGAGAGGTTTGCCATTTGCAGTATCTTTGGTGATAAGCACAACCAAAATATCACCTCTTCAAAGTGGTTACATACAAAGGCAAAATCGCATCAAAATAATCACAATAAAGTTTTTATATTGGCCATGGACTAAGCTGTTGATGCTGTATATCTTCGTGTTTGCCCGAGAAGGTGACTTCACAGATAGTCTAACATGGCTTTCCAATTCGTTTTTTTTGAAAGATTAGCTTGACGTAACTTAAGTGTCTGGGCGTGCAAGTTCATATGCTTACAAGAAGCACTGGCAAAAGTAAAGCCTAAGTTATCTTGATATCTATTGAGTGAGCACAAAAGGTACTCTAAACGCAAATGGACCTTTTCAGACAATTGACGTTGGCTGTACTCATCCATCTCTAATGTATTTCTATGTTTATACCAACATATAAATCTGCCCGGTAAAAAGCAAGCTGAGGGAGGGATCATCAGTGCATGCTTAGATCCACTTACCGTATTCTCAAATACCTAACAGTACTCATTCTCCATCTCCTGGCCAAAGGGTAAAATGCACTGCAGTTCTGGTCAGAACCATCAGATTCAGTTCACTCACTTCCACATTCACTTTTTCACAATCACCCCGGTGTGTGTGTTTAAGCGGCCTGGCCATCATCACTTTTACGCAACACAGAGGACAAGGGACACTCAGTCCTGTTTGGCTTTTTCAAATGGCAGTGACAAGCTTGTTTTTGGACAGGTCCATTGTACCCTGTAGGCATAAAAGTTATGGTAACTGCTTCCGTCACAGAATTTTGGTCTCTTCAGCCTTCACAAGCCGTAGGCAACCCTGCTGCCAGGTCTCTTTGTTTCGTCCTTTTGAGTTTAAGGGTTGTAGGTAGCATTCCTGGTGGGCTAGTAGGAAAAGGAATGGCACCTGTGATTTTTTTGTGACCTTGCTGCCATATTCCTACTGTGAGTGCAGGGTCTTCAGCTGGGTAAGTTCTGTGCAGTGGTCTTACCACACTGCAGGCCTTCTGGGTTTGACACAAACATATTACTCAATTTTACTGCTGTGAACGCTGTTCTTTGCAATCAGTGCAGGCTACCCTTTTAACCCTTGTTCTGCTACGCCAGTCTACATGAGCAAAGACTAATGTAAACCAAAATTCCAATCCATTACCTTCAACAGAGTCATGCTTAATGTGCCACTGAGCAAAAAAACATAACAGGCAAGCTTAAATAGAGTGTTTGCAAGGTGTCTCTGACCTCATCAGCAGTAAAGTCAGTAGAGTGTTTCCTACCCCAGACACAAAAAATCCATGTCATCACAGCACAGAGACAATACAAACTTGCACATTGCCTTTGCCTCTTTGAGGAGAAAGTCATTATAAAAGCAGTCATACTTTATGCTTTTAGATTCATGCATGGTGGCACTTAGGGCACCGCTGATCCCATGCGGGAAATAACTGAGCTGTGATCTTGCAAAAAATACATCTCCGGAGGAAGGCTGCCTGGTAGACAGCTGGTGAAGGCTGTCAGAGCCCTCCCGGCTGCCTGCCGAACAAAGACACGGGGAGTTACCCTGAATCCCCAAATCACCCTTACAGTGGACTAAGTACTCCTAAAATCGCCTCAAAAACCGAACGCGGAAACTTTTTTTTTTTTTAAAAAAGACGTCCTGGCGTGGATCCTGCGGTCAGCCATAGCCGCGGGTCTCAGATGTCCATTTTGCCCGCGCAAACAGGAAACGAGCCTGAATGTTTATTTATCCTCGACACCACAAAAGGCGTCAGAGCCACTCAGAAACACCCGCACAGGCGGGTCAGGCCCGCCGCCTCGTCCCGCCTCAAGCAGCAGCGCGGCCTTTGCCGGCCAAGGGGCGAAACCTGGGGGAGCCCACGGCCCCCTCCCTCAGGCCCCGCGGGCGGGCCGGGGCCTCCCGCCGCCTCCTGGGATTTGTAGTCGGGCGGCGGGTGGCGGGCAGCCAGAGGGGCGGGGTAGAGAACTACAACTCCCAGCATGCCCCGGCGCTGTCACCGGGCTGAGGGCGGGCGGCCCCGGGGCAGTGGGGATCGAGCGGCGCCGCCGCCGCCGCAGCAGCAGCAGCATCCGCGGGGCGGCCCGGTTTGGGCCCGGCTCCTCCGCCGCTTCCCTGGGGGTAAGAGCTTGGGAACTGAGCGGCGGCGGTGGTTTTGCTGAGGGGCAGGGCTCCCTCAGCGCGGTGCCGTTGCCGCCTCACGGCCTGGGCGGCTCTGAGCCCTGGGGGGGATGGGGCGGGCCTCGCCGGTTCTCGGGGGCGGGAACTGGGGTGGATGGCCGCGGCCCCCCTGCTGGCGACGGTGGGGAGGCCCTTCTGGGCCCCGGGGGGGCGGGCTGTGCCGTGCCCGGGCTTGAGTCTGCCTGTGCCGCCGGCATTGTGGGGGCGGGTGCTGGGCTCCTGTCCTGCACGGCGGAGGGCCGGGGCGGGGAGAGAGGAGCCGGGGGCCGCTGGCTGCCCGGCCTGAGCCGCTTCTCGTGTTTTCTTTCCTCTCCCTAGGCCGCTCTAGTGGGTGTGCTGCTCAGGCTCCTGCACGGAGAATGAATGAGGGAAGGAAGCAAACACAGCCCTTGGCTAGGGACAGTGGCTTTCTGGAGGGTTGTCTGAATTTTGTTCTCTCTCGGCTTTGTCAGGTAGGTGCCTGTCTTTTCCTCTTCTTCTTCCTTGGGCTAAGATGGGAATAGGTCTGCTCTAAGTGGCCAGTTTTCTTTCAGCCACATTTTGCCAGGGCTGAGTCCGTAGTGGGGTGTGTCTGCTTGCTCTTGCTCCGTTTTTATTTCTTTTCTTCTGGATGGCAGAGTGCTGGCTGCCCTGGAGGGTGTAAACAGCCAGCCCGTTTTCCTGTTCTAAAACAGGTACTGCAGGTAAGTCCTTACTTCTCAGGTAAGAGCTGAGCACTCAAACATTGGCAATGATTTCTCCTGGGCGTTTTGTATCATTGGAGCACAAGCTGTATGCTGAATAGAACTCAGAACTGAATCACATGTGGCTTTTTCTCTCCTGTGTTTTTATGATATTTGCAATCTTTCTGAACTGAGAAAGAGTCATGAAACCTAGAGAAGATAATATGGCTGCATTGGAAACACTATATATGTTTGTTCTGATTTCCCTGCAGACACTCAACTCTGGAACTTATTTTCTGAATGCAACAAATTCTAATTTCTACCTCACTTAAAATCAAGTGAGCTCTGACTCACCTTTTTGGAGGTCACTTGAGCTTGGCTTTGCTACTCAGTCTTCTCTCTTTTTGGCTAAGAGCCTCATTACATCCTCTGCACTTCTCTATTGCTGTAGGAGGAGTTTATTTGGCTCAAATAGGATACCATTCTTACTTCTCCTCTGTTCAACAGCTCCTTGGTTTCTTAAAACTACTTTCTATGAAGAACAATGCAGTTGTTCATCTGTCTGGGTCCTTCCTTCATGCTAGATTACCTGTTGAATTTTTCATCCATGATTTCAGGATACAGATGAGTGAATTTTCAAGGAATGCAGTTACTGTAAATAACCCATATTACCCACACTGTTATGATTAGAATGATGTTGTGTGTTGTCTTGATAATGAAAATCAGAAGGAGAAAGCTTCAATAGCCTTGACAGAGGTAGAGAGTTTCTTGCCCTATTTTGAGCTTTGTTTTCTGCCCTGAATTATAGGTGTCTAGGTTTGTGTCTGGAGCAGCCAACTTTCATTGGGTGGATGATGGTTCCCTTCAAGAAGTTCTTCCTTAAGGCAGCCAACTAACCGGGCAGGAGATTGGGGTTCAGGTGACTTGCACTGTAGTCCCAGCTCTATCACTGATGTGTTTTCCGTACCTTATTCCTGTTTTCCATACTAATCTTGTGTATTTCTGTGGTGGAAGGACATGAGTTCATTTAGGACTGGCAGCCATGCCTGCAACATAACAAAGAGTTACCTAGTTGTTATTTAACAGCATCATCACTGGTTCTGTTTTCCTGAAAAATTATTCCCTTTTTAGACTTTGAAAAGGTAAATATGTTTCCCATCCCTTTCTCTTTGCACAGCTTACCTCTCTGAGTCACTGACATAAGAAGTATCTTCATAACTGTACCATATTTGGGTTGGCTTCTCTGCTTATGATATTTCTGTATAGCTTCATATGTTTTGACATTTATTTTGAATGCATGTTTGAAGCTCTATGACTGAAGATCCTGTGCCAAATTAGCGTATAAAGAATCTGTTACGTTCCTGCTTTGGTCTGCAGTGGCTGCTAATCCTCTACTGGGACTGTTTGGAAGAATTGGGAGTCCATGCATAGCCTCAGTCCTCTAAAACTTTGGCAGATGTCTTGGAAGTTGCAAAAACTGTGGAAGTACCACAGTGTGGTGGCTGCAGTTGTCTCCTTCCATTTTTACTTGGAAAGGGATATGTTCGTGGCTTTCTAAGCTACCTGGATCAACAAGTGTGTGGCTACATGACCACCATGGTCTCTTCAGAGCTGAGGCAGTTATCTCTGAAACAAACTCTTGCCTTGCACTTGTGTAGCGTTAGTACTGGTTGCTTGCAGAGACTGTTCTTGGTTGCCTGTGATTTTGCTGAAGTTGAATGCTTTCTCCAACTTGCTAATTAAGCTTTCCTAGGTCATGTTGCCCCTGCCTGCTTGCTCCCATCAAATCTGTTTATCTTGCTCATCATCTCTGATACAGAACTGCTCTGGGCTCTGGCGGACTTCAGGGTTATGCTGAATGTGACCATATCACTTGCGACAGTGCTGATTATGCCCTTTCATTTTGTGGTGTTGTTCTCTGGGGATCCAGGAATAGAATGCAAAGTCCCGTGAGCAGACTATTTGAGTCCTAGTTGTTTTTCAAGGATTCTGATTCATGGCTTATCAAGGGCATTTACGGATGGTCCGGGGTGTTGTAATACAGTGTGCACCAGTGCACCAATGCAGCTTTCAGTACACTCTCCCTAGAAGCTCTGGTTGGAGAGGGATCATTGGACAATCTCTTCTTAAGTGAAGAGTGAGAAAGTGGAGTCTCCTGTTTCTTGGGAGACTTACAGAATTTAAATATTTCTGCTTCCTCTGTAACAAGAGCTGTAGTGGTATTGGAAATTTCTGAAAACACAGAACAAGTTGTCTAGCATTTGGAGTGGCTGTCTGTATGTGGAAAATGGCATCAGTGAAGTTATGTGTGTGCTAGGAGGACAGTAAATGGCTTGATCGTAGACCTTGATCCACATTCCTTGACATGACCCCAAGGAATGCAAGGATGCTGGATCATAGGTTGACACTTTCTTTGTGTCTTCTTTGTTCTTTTTTTTTTTCCCCACCCCCTGCAACTAGTATGGTCCAGGTTGTGGAGAACAGAAATTGGAGCTAGGATAGGTGAGCTTTGTTCCTGGCTCTGCCACCAATTCCATATATAGCTATGGTTCCATTTCCCATCTGTAAAGTGTTTCTGTATTCTTTAAAGTACTCAGCTATCCAGAGCTGAAAGATAACGTGTACTTCTAAAACGTACAAACCTGAAAGTGAATTGGTGTATGTGCTGACCCTCGAACCTTAATTAAGCACCAGGGAGGAAAGCAACAGCTAACTACTCAATTCATTCTGCTCCTATGCAGCTGAAGTCTCTAGCCAAAGGCATGTCAGGATAGATTAGATTTAAACCTTTTGATCTGCTTTCAGAGCACAGAGAGGGCAAGTTCCAGGCTGAAAACTGACAGGAGTGCAATGTTGACCATTTTGAAAGCCTGAAGGGTAATCTGAAAGTTGGTAGGATGAGCTATCAAGGCTCATCAGAGATTCAGCAGGTTTTATGTTCCAGCTTGCTCTGTGCCAGAGTCTGAAGTAGCTACTTTTCATTTGAAAAGCTGGAGGAAGTTGTGTTTCTAACTCAGATGATTTGTGATCCTGTTGTATCACCTCTGCTGAGGGTACCAGTGTCTAAATACCTACTAACAGCCATATCATGGAACCACAGTACTGGTGCAGAAGCAGGACTTCCTCTTGATTTTTTTACTCCAGCAGTAATGTTAGTCTTCAGATTTTGAATGACTTGTGGGGAAACTTACTGCCTTTCTAGACAGACAAGGCAATTGTGTAAATAGATTGGAGGATTATGAACTTTTAAGTGATTTAACCCAGATTTTCATGGTAAGTAGGAGTTGATAGCTGGTGTGAGAGATGCAGACCTGAGCTTTACCTAGGGCTTGCCACTGTCAGCTCTGGGCCAGATGATCTTGCCTCTGAGAAATATATTAGATCAATGTCTAAGTAAGAGTGCAGTTGAAATCTGCTGCTGAGACAGATTTCTCACTGTTGGAATATGTTTCTGTGTGGTCTTCCATTTGTAGGTGATTGAAAATAGGTGTGGAAGGGGTTTTGATGAGGCTGCCAAGTCCATCCTTTTTCACTAGGCATGATAAACTACACCAGAATATTGAACTTGTTCTTTAAATAATGGAGATGATCTAGCTTCCCTGAATGGGTTGTAGTTGACTTTATTAAGCTAATATATTTTTTTTATATTGTGACTTTTGTCAGGGTTCTGAATGGGCACAAAAAGACCTGCTAGCCAGTGCAAGGGATGTCATGTGGTTGACCACTGACTTCTTAATGCTAAAGGCCAGAAAAGCGATGGATTCTTGGCAGGAGAGGGAAGGGGAATCACTCAATGTGATGCTGGCAAGTTTTTATTTGTTTTCCTTATGCCACAGGGATTTTCCATGGAGGGTATGGGAATGTTAAAATACCATTCTCCCATTTTTTCTATGTAATGTGTAAAAGACCTTAATTCAAACTTAACAAATATTTTTTAAAAAACAAAACAAAACAAAAAAACCCCAACAAAACAACAACAAAAAAACCACAACAAAACAACAAACAACATCACCTGGTAATTGTGTGTGGTTTTGGGTGAGGGCTGTGTGTGTGTTGTTTTTACTGTAATGCAATGTAAATTTAATTCTGAAATCTGCTATTGAGGAAAAAGTGGATTCTCATCAGCTCTAGCTACTGAGCTTTTCAAGGGCTTGAGACAGCAATCTGCAAACTGTCAGGTCCAATTAAAGCAAATGGCTGGAGCTGTTTTTCTCCCTCCTGGAGAGAACACAGTTCATCAAAAGCCAGAAGGAAATTTCATGGTGCTCATGAGCAATTATCTTGTGAGATGTAATAAGAGAGATCCACTAGATACCCAGCGTGAACTTTCACTTATAATCACCCTTAATTTTCCGGTGGGCAGATGAGCATTCATCTCACCAATTTAAAACCTCAAGTTTTGGTGTTCAGTAGAAGCTGGTAGAGCGAACTTGTCCTTTTGTAGGGTATGACTGATGTTGACTTGTAAATCTGAATTTTTAACATCCCTGACCTGGCAAAAGGTATTACACATCTCTGTGGTTTAACCCTGATAGACAGCTAAGCACCACACAGCTGCCGACTTTCACCTCAGTGGGATAGGGAAGAGAACTGGAAGGGTAAAATTGAGAAAGCAGAACTTGATCAGGTGTAACAGTTGCTTGGGAAGACAAACACCATTACTCCAAACATTCCCCCCTTCCTCTTTCTTTCCACCAGCTTTTATTGCTGAGCATGATGCTGTATCTGATATCGCTTTGGCCAGTTGGAGTCAGCTGTCCTGGCTGTGTTCCCTCCCAAATTCTTGTGCACCCCCAGTCTACTTACTGTCAGGGCAGTGTGAGAAACAGAAAAGGCTCTGATACTGTATAAGCACTGCTCAGCAACAGGTAAAACATCAGTGTTATCGATGCTGTTTTGGTAGCAAGCTACTGTGAAGAAAATGAACTCTATCCCAGCTAAAACCAGTACACAGTGGTATACCACAACTTCTGTTGTTGGAAGCCTGTGGCAGCTGTTTGTTTTTGGCTTACTGGTGGTGTTTCCCAGAGGTGTTTGCATTGGTATGATTTAAAGCAAATATTGACCTACTGTGCAATCAAGTTTGGGTCTAGTACATTAGTTAGCACAGACCTGATCCATTAAAAACACTGTGCTGTGTCTTTGCTCTTGGTAGATCATGTGGCTGATACTGTCACTTTCTGTTTAACTTATTTTGTTACTCGTGGCTGAGAAAAATCACTTTTTGGTCCATACAACTTGGTGACAAAACCATTTTGGATTGAGGTTATGCAGATGAGTGTTTGGTTTTTGAAGCAAGTTCCCTTTTCTGTGTCTGTTGTCATCACAGGTGGGTTGAAGTTTGAGTAAAGTGAGAATTGAAAGTTCAAGTCCAACTCGGTTCTGATTTAATAGCTCTAGAAGAGTATGGGCTTTTTGTGCATGCTTTCACACCCAACTGGAAGAAGTTTTCTAATTAGTATATTTCTTGAGACTTCAGGCATATTGAAGCTGTGTTTTTTTGAATTCTATCTGTGATTAAAATTAAGGAGAGGTGTATTCTATCTGAGACTTCAGTTGTGGTGGTCCTGGATCTGAAAGTAGGCGGTACTTTTTCTCAGTTTAGCCACAAAAGTACAGAGGACTTCACAGTGTTCAGGTATAACAAAAAAAAAAAGGCCTCTCAGCCCCAGTGTTTGTACTTAAAACCAAGAAATTAAAATTTTGTAACAAGGAAAATAGAAGATAATACTGCAGGATCTTTTAAATACCATCTCACCCTTTGGAAGCATATGGGATGCTGACCTTGGGCTGTGGGGCCAGTTATTTCCTAGTGCATCCTCCTTGCAGTCCAGGTGATAGTCCATTATATGCAAACTGTTAAACCTAGAGGTACTGCCTTTACCCCTGAGGGGCAAGTGGTGGTGCCTGTGCATTTAGTTTTGTTTGCTATGATGCATTTTCATCATCTCCTGATGGTGACAGGATGAAGACAGCATGGCTTTGAGACTGTGTCCCTCCACTGGGATTATTGTAATCTGGTGCTTCTGGCTCTGCCATGGACAGTCTCAGAAGAATCACTGAGTATTCTTCTGTCACAATTCTGAGTGACGATCCTTGCTTTTGTCCAGTTATCTCTTGTGCTCTTCCACAGCTGAGCAGAGCTCACCTCTGACTGTGTTTCATGCAGCAGCTGGCTCATTTGGCTTTTGTGGCCGCTGAAGCTATTAGGTATTGCCATACTCATACATAATGAACCTGAAAATGTAAGATGTATAACTTCGCTATAATTTCTTCCATCTTTAGCATCTATTCTGAGATTGATTGCAGTTTTTTTAGGAAACCAGAATGCTGGGGTCGGGCTTTTCAAAAGGGTTTGCACAAAACTACTGTTACTGAATATTAATAAATTTCCTGGTGCTTCTTTTAGGCCTGCCTCCTTTAATAAGGTGATAGAATAGATAGTAAGCCAGCATGATAACCACTGAAAATATTGCTTCTACAGCTTGAAAGGGAAGGCAGCGTTCCCCTCTCACTGTAAGAACTCAGTGCTAGAACACAATCAGTGTAAAGTGAATGTAAAGTTCAGTTTAGGCAACACAGATCAATGGGCTGGCATTTGTAAAGGACAGGTGTTGATTGTAGGGATAAAATGCACTCAATGGGACCATCTTTAAACATATTGCCTGGCTAGTTATTTTTAGCATTGCCTCACTCTGTGTCCCCATATTTCAGGATGTGTGCCTGCTCTTATGCGGTGAAGCTGGAATGACAAGATATTAATCCCTGAGCAAAGGTATATTAATCAAAGGTATATTTATTCTGTTTATGTAATACAGTTAAATGTACTTTGAGAGCAGGTGAGGTATGGAGCATTGGAATGGTTTAACCTCATGCAGGCTTTTTCTTGATTGATTGGTTTTAATAGCAGCAGCTGCTCTGTTTCTAATTTTTTTCTGCTGAGAGTAATTTGTCAGTAGAATGGCTTCATTTATCTGCTACTGATATTTAAGCCACAGAAACATCATCTGCTTTTCTCTCCCCCTCTGTGCCTGTGATGCCATTTTGCAAAATTTAGACTAAGCGGAAATCCTGATCACACAAGGAAAAGTGAAGCAAATTATCTTTGAGAGCTTGTGGCTTTGCAGTGGAATATTAAACTATTCAGCCAATTCTGCAAATCCTTTTTTTTTTTTTTTTTTTTGGGGGGGTGGGGTGGGCTGCAGAGGAGAACTTAATGGTTTTAGTCTAATTTCTAGTGGTTAAGTTTGTCATGTAGTGGCTGAGATGGTATCACTCTTCCACCTTAGAACATCTCCTAGTGCTGGGAACTCAGAGTCTGTATCTTCTGTGCTGTAATTAGGCACTGTGGATTTGCAATGAGTCTGGGCTCTCCAGCCATCTTTGTTAGCCACAAAAGATCAAAGCCTTGGGAACTGCCTTCTCCAAAATGGAGTGGGACCTTACTAGACTTTTAGTCTCAGCGGCTAAACAAGACCTGATCTGACAATGCTGTTCTTTGTATGAGGCTGTGGAATGAGATCTGGAAAACAATGAACAACTAAATGGGCCCTACTGTGTGTTTTTTCACATCAAGAAGGGGGACTTGGACTAGTGCTGTGTTATGTGGTAGTATTAAAGCCCAGTGTTTGTGAATTAATAATTTATGGAAACAACTATTCTGAAAGCAAAGAATCTTTATCATATGTTAAATTTTAATATTAGCCCTTAAACTAGTTATTTTTCTCGTTTAGGAGGGTTTTATATATAGGTAATACAAGGCACTATTATCGGGGAGCTTCTTGGGAGAGGCCTGCTAAGAAGGCAGGGGTTTTGTTTGAGTAGTGGGGAAGCCAGTCAAAAGGAAGAGATTGCCCGAGTTGAGGAGTAGATGATAAACTCAGTTCTGAAGAAAGGGGAAAGAATTAGAATGTGTGTTTCCATGTGAGGGCTTTTGGGCCCAGTACAAATGGACTAGGTAGAAAGGCAAAGTTCAGGGTAGACGAGAGATTTGCAAGTGGTAGAGTTGGGTATTGAACTGGTGTGAACTGGGGTTGAGATAATAAAATGCCATGGGATGGAAGCCATCAGGTGTGGTGGGTTTGAGATTGCAGGAGGCAGCACACCTGGGGCAGTACAGCCAGCCGGCAGCCCCTGAGGGCTGATGGCTCTGAGCCTCACCTGGGGCCAGGAGGGCTCGAAACCTGCAACGTGGGCTTCACAGGGTGGTAAGTCAAAAAAGGATTTTTTTTTACTGTGTATTTTGCTGGTTTTCTGGTCTGCTTTCATTTAATAGTGAATATATTTGTGGGAATTGTGTGTGTGCTTGAGAGAAATTATGCTGCATTCTGTTAGTGAGAGCATACACATGTGTCTGCTGCTGTGCTGTCCTGGGGTCTTACTGTTTGCTGAGGAGAAAGAAAAGCGAAAAGTCTGAATTCGAGTTTATTGGGATGAATATTATCTTTGGTGATTCATTTAGCAGCTTTGAGCCTTGGTCAGAGGTGTTTGATCCTAGTTGTCTATTATTAAAGAATACAAAAATATCTGTTTTGCAGGTAGGGAAACTGGGGTAGAGAAAGATACTTAGTTGTGTAGACGAGCATTGGCTATCCAACTTGTGGTGGTTTCATAAAAATGCTGTTTGTGTCAGGAAAGGGGGAAAACTCTGTCAAGCCTTATTTCTGTAAGGCGAATGCTTACACGAGTAGTGTAGAAAGCAGTACTGCTAAAACCCAGCTGCATAGCCATAACAGCTCTTAAGCCAATATGAGCTGACTTAATATAGCCATTACACCTAATTTGTTTGGATTTCTGTTGATGTTCCTAGTGTGAGGATATACAAAAGTACATATTGAAAGTTTACAGTAGTGGTAGTTGACCGATCTAAATGCATGATACGACTTTTTTAATGGCACTGTGTCCCTGAAGTTCCCTTGAGAGCAAGCAGCTAAAATGTAGTGTGTGTGTATATGGTGAGGACTTAAAATACTTGGAGTGGCTAGGAACCACTTTGGCAGCTTAACAGTACAGAACAGTTGAAGAAACTGCTCCAGGTGCCTCTCTTCAGCCTGTTTTAGTTGGGAACAGATTCTTTGGACCCCTGACTTGAACTGCAGAGCCTTGCTCTTGTGTAGAATCCTGCTGCAATGTACAGTGAGGCTGGCAGGACCACCACCAGTGTCCTTTGATGTCTAGTTGTTCATTCTTCAGGAGACAGTTCAAGATCATTCTGATTGCTTGCTTGTGCTGCAGTGATACTGTTCTGGATTTCTGCTGTTGCAGGCAGCGTTGATGTGCTCTGTTGCAGGCTGTCGATGCTAGATGTCTGTAAACATTTTATGAGGCTTGCCCAGTCTGCACTGGTATCAAGGAAGGATAAAGCAAGTGAAGTTTGTCTTGACAGAGCTCATTAGCTTGCAGTTATCTTGCTGATGTCAAGTGAATAGTGTCTTTGTGCACAGTGCTCTAGCTCTGCTTGCTATGTTCGCTTCCTGAGAGAGATGAGTTGAGGGTCAAATACTGAAGCATGATTCCACTCATTTGCTAGTAAAATTTACAGCTGGAATGGCCCTGGCATCCCTTTGTTCTGCTTGCTAAGTCCTTAGGAGCACTGATCCAAAAGGATCATTGTGTATTTGAGTGATCACTGTAAATGTTTGCATTCATTTCACCTGGTTACTGTCAATTGCAACTATTGATTGTTATGGTTCTGCTAGTTACACTCTGTTTTTCTAATCCTTTCAATGCTTTCTGTTGCTTTTTAATGGAAAATCTCGTCAGCATTACTGTGCTATTCATTCTTCTGCCTTCCCTGTTTCACAGGGAATGAAAGACTATAGTGATGGCTGAGATGTAGGCTAACTCCTGGTCTACTACAAGTTAATTTAATAAACTCCAGCTTGTGTGTAGTTCTTGTGCTGCTTATTCGCTGTTTATACGAGAGGGGAACTCAGGGCAGGAGAGGGAGGGGTCTCAGAAGACAGTCTGTAAAACTGTTTAGATCCTCTTCTAATTAAATTAAGCTTCTTTACCCATCTCTGGGTTGTGCTGAGGATGCCAAAGCTTTATTTTTACTTACTTATTTCATTGTATGTCACCTGCAAAAGGTCATGTGGAAGAATGGTTTTATAGCTCCGTAGTAGTGTCACGAGGGCAACGTGAACACAGTATGTATAGAATGAACAAATACTGAGTTTCAGGAGGTGTTGATCTGCCCATTTTTGGCAGGCGGAGGACAGAATTTTTTCTCCTCTTGGTGACGTTACATATTTTCTGTCCCTGAGTGGGAATTTATGGGGGAAATCTTGACTCCTGTGATGACGGCCCAGACCACCCAGGATTCACCAAGGTGAAGATTGCACCCTTGCTCGGCAGTCTGTAGCGCTGTTCCCATGTACCCCCCTGCACAGTCACGTTCATGTCGGAGGCCTGGCGCCTGTGTTTAGAGCATGCACGGGGGTGAGAGCCTGGAGGAGAATACAAAACATTTCTGTGAGGAATTGCACGTGGTCTGGTGCTGTGGCTGCGGATTTCTGGGCAGGATTTGTGGCTTTTAAAGCCTAAAAATAATGATCTCTGGGGAATCTGACCTAGGCGCATCTGTCTGTAGAGTGGGGAGCCTCTTGAGTTCTTTCAGGAGGGAACAAGGTGGCTGCAAAGGGGCAGGTTCTGGCCCTGGGTGACTGCCTCGGTTCTCGGAAGGAAACACGGCTTTTCGCTCAGCTCAGGGCTGTGGCAAGGGGCCTTCAGGGGCGAGCAGGCAAAAGGGAGGCTTGCCCTCACAGAGGAGTGGATCTCCCTCCTGCCTCTGCCACTCGGCCTTCGCAGTCCTGCAGCCGTGGGGCTGGGGTCGTCGGGGTATCTTACCCCCCCCCCCCCAAGCCTCTAAGCCTGGATGGGACCGGGCTGAGGTCGTCAGGGTCCCCCCCCAAAGCCTCTGAGCCTGGACGGGACCGGGCTGGCGGGGCCGCCCGAAGCGGGGCCGGGCCGGGCAGCGGCTGGCTCCGCCCGGGAGCCGCCCCACATGTCGCGGCTGCGACCGCACCGCAGAGCGGGGAGGGAGGTGGGGGAATGGGCCGAGGCTGCTCTGCCGGGAAGCGAAACCGGCGGCCGTCGCTTCCCCTCCGCCTCGCAGCCGGCGGGCCCTGCCCCGAGGAAGCGGCCGGGGCTGCAGGTAAAGCCGGGCGGGAGCGCGGGGGGGGCCGGGCCGGGCCGCGGTGGTGGCGGACAGGGCTGTGTCAGCACCGGCTGAGGGTTAATGTTAGGAGGCTCCTTTGGGCTTTGGCGTGGCCACGGCTGCCTGCCCCAGCAACCCCCCCGGGCAGAGCAGGGCTTCCCCAGCTCCAACGCACCCGGCTGGGTCCAAAGCATCGAGTAGTTGTATCGGATTAAAGGGTTTGTAGCCCGCGTGTGCTTTGTATTCCTTGGAAGACCACCGACGAGCAAGAGGATGATAGTAAACAGATGGTGTGAGCTCTTTGGTAGGTGTTAGATGCTGCAGGTCTCCAGTTACTGGAGAGATAATAGCCCAGATAACAGTCTGTACCTGAGGAGAAGGAGTCAGAGAAAAAAAGTAGTAAGAAATGGGGGATGTTTTCCAAATAATAGTAACTTCTTTTGGGACTTGTGAATTGACATTTGTGAAAGCTGGGCATTTCAGGCTCAGGTGAGCTGCTGTGGAAAGAGCCTGCAGCCATCTCCCCATGTGTTCACAAAAGATGTTCAGAAACTAAAGGAATATCAAGAATCTGAGCTTTGCAAGCTTGTGCTGCTCTTTTGAGAAAGGGTGCAACTTGGGTTTGCTGTAGCACTTAAGGAAGCATCCTCAGGATAGGCAGAGCTTTTTAAGGTAGAGTTATTTACCTGAGAAGACAGTTTGAATTGCAAAATAGGTGTTAAAAAAGAAAAAGTGCTGCTTGTAAAATAACCCAACCCACAAACCAACAAAATGAGACAAAATCACCTGCATCTTCCTCTGTTTACCATACTGTTCAAATAACTTGATAACCAGATTACATGCACAGATTTTGTCAATCTGTTTATACCACAGTTGGGTTCTGTTTACCGTGTATCCCATACAGCAGCAACCTTTGCCTCTTACCAGATGGGTAGCAGGTTGCCTCTAGAGCACCTTCTACCAACAGCACAGTTTGAATATTGGCAGGAGGTTGCAACAATTATTGCAACTAAAATGTTGCAGACTCAAGGTGCTAAAGTATTTTCCATTTGTTCCAGTTAAGTATTACTGGGATTTTCTAAGAATGGACTCATAGATTACACCTGGGCTGTTTTTCCCTGTGTCACAGTAGATGAGGTCAGAATGCTAGGTCAGGATTTGGAAAAATGCTTGTGTTTTATAATGGATTATTTGTTCATAGTTACTTTAAACTCCCCTGGGAAACTGATGTTTTCTCTATGAATCGTTTCTGGCAACTATACCTATCCTTTCCTGGAATAATTATGACGCAGACAGCATTGAGGGACGGGTATTTGCTTCAATGAGTGAAACATTTCCACTTAGGAAGTAAGTAATGCTAATCTCTGGCAAGGTTCAGACTGCATGAGCATTGTAATTAATCTCATAAAGATTTTGATCAGTTCTTTACTCTTGTTATGCATCACCCCTGCAGATTAGATGGGAATGTAGAATGCATTTGGTGCCTTCTTGTGTGGAAAATGGAGTATTCACATTAAGACGACAGCCTTCAGATCAGTGAGCAAGAGATTGCATGAAGGTCATTGCAGCACAGACAACTCAGTTAACTAGTATTCAGTATCACCAGTGTACAGTTGAACTACAACAGCTCTGCAGAGCTGTGGGACAAGTACGTGTGCAGCTCCTTTGTGAGTTGTAGGGACCTGCAGAACCAAGGGAAACTTGATGCCTGTGGCAACAGCAAAAGTCTATTCCTGCTGGGATCCAGCTTATGGGCTACTGATTAGATGGATTTTCATCCTTCCAACCTGGTACCTGTCATATTGTCAGAGATTGCTGTCTCTTGTCAATTCTGTGACAAGACAGCTGATGTTGGTATGTCGTATTGCATCTGCAAGTAAACTCTCAGTGCAGTGAAATGATGCATTTCTCTAGGACTCTGCCTACAAAGTGTCTTCATGTAGCTTTTGTATTTCACTGACAGTTTGAAGAAGGGATCTGTGTAGCACCGATGTCAGAAAAGTAGTGGGAAGGTGCATAGAGAAAGTGTGGGTTTGCCTGTGTGTAGGTCACACGTTTCTAGGACCAAGACCAGGTTGGTACTCTGCTGTTTGACTGCTCTGATGAGAACATGTCATGATACATAGTGTGTCAGCCTGCTCTGCTGTTTTCAGGTAGTAAGGGATCATCCTCCTTTATACTGCAGTGACTTAAATTTTATGGGATTGTGGCACAGCTTGGAATATTCTTTTATGATGAATAGTTTTTGGAAGTGGCATTGACTTCCTTGAAATGCTGAGAGTTTTGAAGCCTGTGATGTTTCATTCATTCCTGGAGAGAGTAAAAAGGTCTACTGAAACAGCATAAAACTCTTAAGGTTGGGCAGTGGCACTCCATCCTCATCTAGAAAACCTCGTGGTATTTGTTGTTTCCTTCTCTAAGCATGCAATTCCATTTCCCACTGTTATTGCCTCCCCCCACCTCCCACCAGTTTGACTTGGATGAAACAGGAGGGTTGTTGGTGGTGATGGTTGCTTTTAAGGAAAAGCCATGTAGCAATAATTGAACTGTGCTTCTCTTGTGCCTTTCTATTGTTGGATGTTTCCGTTTGTTTTCTCTGCACTGGGTTTGACAGTCTTGACTGGTTGATAGTGGCCTTTTAAAAAAGCAGTTCTGCCTCTTAGTTAAAGCAATAAATTGTCTATTTCATTCATTTCTGATCTGGAGGAAGAGAGGATTGTATGAATCTTATTAGGCTTTGCAATGCTTTTTAAAAAAGATATTCTTTCTTTTTGATAATGTCTGCTTTCATAAAGACAACAAACACCAGTCTACCTTAAGCTCAGCAATGTTACATTCACCTCCACAAAAGAAGTCTAGATGAAAGTGTCATCCAAGGCATCTTTTAGTGATGATTAGAACAAAAGATGACATAAAGTTCACAAGGACATTTGGTTTTGATGTTGCTCTCATGTGACAAGTGGTTGAATGTCACAGTGATGTATAGCAGGAAAAGTCTGAAGCTAGAGAGATGCTAAAGCTGAACAGAAATCAGGCTCTTTCTGCACACTAGAAACTCGATTTTGCATCAACCTACTCCTCCATACATTTGAAAGGGGATGTTTGGCTGGAGGAAGAGTTTATTTTTAGGCCTCATTGGTTTCAGTTGCTCTATTGGTAGGTGGTAGTGTTAACAACATGTCGCTCCTATTGCTGTGTCTGAGTACACATCCTATTAGCTTGTCAGCTAAACTGGGTTTGTCAGCCCGGTTTGAACTGGCTTTGTCATGGCAGTTGGTAAGATTTGCTGTACTTTTGGAATCTGCACTATTTGGTCCTTGGCATTCTGTTGGGTTTTGATTACTCCCCGCCCCCCCCCCTCCCCCCCCCCCCCCCCCAACTTCTGAGAAAATTTTGGATGTTATGAATAGCTTGAGAGGAGGAAGGAGATGCAGGGATACCCAAAGATAAAAGGATGCTATTGTGGATGATTCCAGAAGTCAAAACAGTAGCTTGGCCCTAAATACTGAAAGCCACACTCCTGTCTTGTTCTGGTAAAGGGGTAAACCATGCTTTGGCAATGTTTGATTTAGTTCAGAGTTGTAGATGTGCTGCATCTGTGTGGTATTCACCTCATTTACCAATTGTCATGGCAACAGTTGGAAAGGCTATCCCAAGCTTTTACTGATCCCAGCATAAAACCTGCAGTGCTTATTGCAGGTAAGCAATAACCCTTCCCTGTTCCTGCTGTAGCTAGCATTGATAAATAGCAGCAAGAGATTGACATTTATTTCTCTGACATAGGCACTTTTTTCCGAACTGCTATTACTTCTGGAAGAGAGACAAACTTTTCTTTCATATGTATCTTTGAAACTTCCTGTATCCCAAAGTCAAAACCAAAACTAACTTTCTGGGCAAGTGAAACTCAAGACTGCAGTATTATGTGATAAGATGCATACAAAGAGTCTTCCTGAAAAATAGGCTGGTATTGACTTTTTATTGTGAAAATCATGCTGCTAGTGTTTTCTTGGTCATTTCTTTCAATTCTATTTACTGTGCTTTTTTGTTTTTGTTGCCGTTGTCTTTGGTAGCTGTTGTATGTATTCCTGAATTTGAAATCAAAAGCTGATACAGGAATTTTGTAAAGATTTCTTGCCCAGTTCTCTTCCCCCATACCTAGCACTCTGGAATAAGTCTTTTGGATATTGTGCAGATGTTTCTGTGCCTTGGAAGTCTGGCTAGTTTGTGTATCCTTCCCCTCTCTGCTAAAGCTGTGAGGATCCATTTTTAAAATAAAGTACAGATTTATCTACTTGGCAGGTGAGGCCTCCTCTATAACCAGGTCATTCTGGGGGAAAATGTGTTGAGTGGCATCACTAAATTGTATTTATCTTTTTAGGTGCGCTGAACATGATGCTGCTGATGGTGAATGTGTTGCTGATGCTACTACCCGTCTCTAAGACCCTTTACGTGGAAGAATTTTAGGGGTTGCCGTACAGATCAATGGACGTGGACCCCTATGCCAGCATGCAGGTTGGGATGCGGGTAGTTCGTGGAGTGGACTGGAAGTGGGGCAGCCAGGACAGCGGTGAAGGGAATGTTGGGACTGTGGTTGAGATTGGTCGGACAGGCAGCCCAACCACTCCAGATAAGACTGTGGTTGTGCAGTGGGATCAAGGCAACAGAACTAATTATCGGACTGGATTCCAAGGGGCTTACGACCTTCTTCTGTATGATAACGCACAAATAGGTAAGTATAGCACAGGCAAGAAGCACAAACACTAGCTCTGTAAACCCATGTCCTTTAGCATATGTAACACGTGCCTCATGCTAGCTGGAATGTTAAGTCTTTTGCAACTGTCTGTGGACTGATGTTGAGCAGCAGTGTATGCTCAGGCAATTAATGGTAATGAAATTCCTGTTTGTATCTATGCAAAAGCTTTTCTTTCCTTTTTCTTTTTTATCTGTGAGTCTAACAGTTTTGCTGACTTTGTCATTCTATTAGATTCAGGAATGAACTTTAGGATGAGAATCCCTTAAGCCAGGAAATTGACACTTCATATTACACATATCACTTCATATTATATTATTGCATCATCTTCAATACATGTACAATAAATGATTATTTTTTTTTTCTTTAAAACATGATGACGTAGTTTTGAGAGCCTGGTCAGCCTGGTTTCTCTGGATTTTGTGTGGATCTTACTTCTTTGCTTTTGTTCTCCTAGGTGTCCGTCACCCTAACATCATCTGTGACTGTTGCAAGAAGCATGGTATACGTGGAATGCGGTGGAAATGCAAGATGTGTTTTGACTATGACTTGTGCACGCAGTGTTATATGAACAACAAGCATGACCTGTCTCACTCCTTCGAGCGCTATGAAACAGCACACTCACAACCGTAAGTGATGCTGTAGGGGAAGTCCAGCTAACCGTGTTGAGATTCATAGGTCACTGTTCTATAACAGTGGGCTCCAAAATGGGGCGTGTAAGATGATCTGTTGAGATGCAGGAATAACATAATAGAACTTCACTAGTGTATGTCTGTATAATTTATAAAGTAATAAATGTACATATATTGGGGAGTACTCAATATTTTTTTACTGATAGGGTTGCATGATCATAAAAGTTTGGGGACCATTGCTCTATAGAAGAATGTAAGGCTGGATCTGGCACTTTTAAAGAGCTGCTTGAAAAAAGACATCAAACAAAAATCAGAATTTTTCTGAACAGTTTAGGTGAAAATTCAAAATGTTTGTCTGCTCTGGCTTTTCTTTTTCTTAGTAATAAATTAAATAATTTAAAATTATTTTTAATAATCTCCCCCCAGTTAAATAATTTCTTAGATGTGCTTTGCTATTTGCTGTTCTCCAACAACTGAGTGGCCACAGGGAGGCTGTCAGTAATCTTGCACTCCCAAATTGCTGATTTCTCCTCAGGGTCTGCGCTATTCACTGAAGAACACCTTCTCGTTTACTCTGTACTCTGCACGTTAGCACTATTGGAAGTGCCTGCTACATGGATAACTATGGAACAGTCTGTAATTTTGTGCTTATTCATAATGAGGTCTGTTCTGTTCCACGGAAGAACTGAAAGATAGTCTCAACAGTAGTTTCATTTGCATCTCCTAAGGTGGACATGAAGATTAATCTTGTAATCCTCTTGCTGTTAGGAAAAATAATAGGAAATTAGCTCTTGTCTCTGTCATTGAATTTTTTTTTGCATTTTTTTTCCTCCCCTTGAAAATATCACTGTGCATTGCACCTGTCTGTGGAATGAAAAGTATAATTACATTGCTAAAGACAGTAGTGTTGGATTTGCAGCTGTTTTTCCTCCCATATGGGAAGCTCTCTCTGGAGTTGATTGCCATAGTTTTGCCAGGGTGATTGAGCTAGAATTCTAAGTGCTAGCAAAGGGATAGATGTTGCTGTCCAAAGGTGTCCCCTCTGAGCTTTGAGGCTTGTGTTTATTCACCAGATTAGGATGTTTCTTGAGCTTTTGTTAATATGGCAAATCAGCCAGATCCTATTGTGAAATGAGCTTTCTGTTTTCACATATATATATGTGTGTATGTGTATATATATATATATATAAATATATGTGTATATAAAAATAAACGTGCTTTTTTCCCTCCTCTCTATGAATGTTATGGTTAGCTCCAAGTAGTTACTCAGAGGTGCCTGCTTGTGTCTTTCATTTGAGCTCTAGGTACACTCTGCTCTTGAGGTATATAATCTTCCTCACTTTTAAGGAAAAAAGGGAAAAAAGTTGGCAACAATTACTGTAAGAAACTGTACTGTTGCAGAGCAGTCCAAATTTTCTGGCCTTCGCATGGGTTCTTCACAGTGCTGCATGGTGCTGTGTTCTCTTGGGCAGCAGGCCAGCTCTGCCACCTTTCCTGACCCTCCTTAGGAACACCCCAGAATGCTCTTGCTGGTCAAAAAGCAGATTGCTCAGCAATTTCTCCCCAGGACTCTCATCCTCTGCAGACCCGTTTCCTTTCCTGAGGAATCTGAATGGTGAAAGATGTAATTAGAGCAGTTTTTCCTTTTGAGGCTTGTATATGCCCTGTGTCCAGGCTGCCATTTCAACTCGGTAGTAGAGTGCTTGCTGTCAGTGTGAGAAGAGCCTGGGAAACTGCCAGGAAACTTGCTGGACCTAGTACGGTCCTAGGTGAGTTGTTTGACTTTGACAAAACCGCTGCAGCACCGCTCTGGAATGTCACCAAAGCACTGGATGGCTCTTTGGAGGTAGATGTCCACTAAAGCAGAACTTGATGTCTGATGATGCTTGCCTCTTAGTGGCTTTTTGGTTTGCTTGGTGTGTTTTTTTGCCTAAATTCCTTCACTTTTTTTCTGACAGTGTGGTTCATTCAGTGGTTAGAGAAGATGTGTTATAAGTTAACTTTTTCTGAGTTGATAAAAAGAAATCCAGACATAGACCAGAGTCCATGATACCAAGTCTTTTGTTAAAGTATCGGTGTTCTGATTTACAGTACTATGTGTTAGCAGGAGCAATAATCTTCTTAATACCAAGCAGCTAATAATAATAATAATTTAAAAAAACAAAACAGAACAAAAACACGCAACAAAAAGGGTGTGTGTGTGTGTGTGTGTGACATCAGGGACACAGCATGAGCCTCTCAGATGTGGCAGTGGTTTCTGGGAGCCTCAGTAAGGGCTAAAGGAAAAAGCAGCTGTATTTGTAATTGGGTAATGTAACATCTTCCCTACTGTTTCTACGTGGCAGGTATTGAATGTAGCCGTGCTGAGGGATGGGAAGAAATTAGAAATCCTCAATGAAGAAGCTTCCAGTTGTGGAAAGCTGCAATTTTAAAGATGAATGGAAGGTAGATCTTGTGATTCTTGGAAGTCACGAAGCTTTTGGAGAAAGCAGGCTGTCAGAAATGCTTTTTGTTTCAGTCATTTGACTGAGTTGATGGTAGAATACTGTACTATAACTGCAGAGCATGTGTGTTTTATGCAAGAGCTTTCATACAGGGAGCTGGCAAACTGAAACAATTTTACTCAGAAATGACTTGCAGTGCAGGACCAGGAAGAAGTAGGAACATCTTTGCTTTAATGTAAATATAATCCTCATTTGTTGGTCTAGTGTTCTTCATTAGGAATTGAATGTTCTGATTTTAAAAAATTAAGTGAAGTGAGGGACGTGGAGGGAGATCACCTTTGAACAGTGCCATAGAGAGAATTTCTTCGGAATAACAGGTTTGAGCTGTAAAAATACATTGCCTTAGGCAGTACAGCATCCTTCCTGAAGAACAAAAATTGCATACTTACGACTCACTAGGACTATTGCTTAGATCACTCACCTCAATTTTTTTGCTTAATAAAATAGAAGAGAAAATCTTGGCTAGTTCCCCAAGGACCCAAAAAAGCTGCGTATTTAAAAAGATATGGTAACTGCTATCTGGATTTGGGTGTTCTTGAGGTTTTGTTGTTACCTGCTGTTGTTTGAACGGCTATAAAACATAGGATGAGTCATCTTTGGAGATCAAGATTCTCTCATATCCCTTCCCTGGCAGGGACTGAGTATCTTTTGGCTCTTTACGGTGAGTCTCAAGCATAGTAGTGTGTGGCTTTCAAGACCCAGGCAAAGTGCTGTGATGAGCCCACTGGAGTGTTAATTAGTCAAAAAGTTTGTAAGAGGAGTGGGTGGAGAGACAGCCCACCAAATCTGACAGCATCCCATCGTCTTGGTTTTACACAGTGAAGGAGGGGCCACTTGTATATCATGATTATAGTCCTTGGCTTACAATCAGTGAGATCAAATGTGGAGCTGTGGAATGCAGCTGCATTATGGAGCTGTCCCATCAACTGTCTCTTTAGCCAGAGATAAGAGCTGTGGGAGTTTCCAGTCTCCATTCTCAGTCACTGCTGTGCATCCAATCTTGCAGCTCCTCCCATTGCTGGTCCTTTGTGGGAGGAAGCGAAGGCCTCTGGAAGGACTGTTTCAGAGATGGCAGTGTGGTGTCCTTGTGCAGCAAATTGCTACCACCGGCACTGCTGTTGCCAGACCCACCACATGGCACCTACACAGCTGAACCTAGGCAAGGCAACACACAACTGTTTGTAGCAGCTCACTAATCCTAGGATTAAAGAGGCTTAATAAGCCCAGACAGACACTGCAGAGGGTTCCCAATCAGTTTTCTAAAGAGGCTTTGAAGACACCTTTACCTAAAGGCTATTTCAGGTCTTAAGTGACCTGAGTTTGAACCTCTGGTGGCAGGAAGTACTGATTATTATATATATTTTTTAATATTTTGCCATTTGAAGTAATCTCTTCCTGACATCTGCCAATTGCTGGTATTTTTTATTGGTCTTGTTTGGTTTGAATTTTATGGCTGTTTTAGGAGAGGCTCTCATCCTTAGTTTAAAAGGATGGACAGCTCAGTTTCACTGAAAATGCTTTTGCACAATTTTGTATCCATTTGCTGAATATATGCTTACTAACTAGAAGATAAATCAGTGTCTGTAAGCAGGATAGCAAAGCAAAACTCATCCAGTTTGTTAGGGCTGGAATAGTCAGGCACACTCAGAGTTCTGCAAATAATCAAGTTTGAGATAATCCTCCTCTCATACAAAATACTAGTAATATATTCAAGTGCAAAATCAGCAATGGCATTTTACATGCATCACCTTCTTGGAGATAATGCTGAGTTGAGTTTCAGTAGGGGATGTGGTGCATTTTACCCAGGCCATTTTTTAGACTTCACTCACCAACAAGTCACAACCTTAACAATTTTCCAAAAGTCCAATTTTTTTCTGGAGAACAATGGAGTTGGTGGAGCCAGAAAACAACACAGTGAAAAGTTTTGTGTAATCAAGCATAAGAAATAGAAATATTTTCTTGTGTTTGTGTTTTATACTGTAGTCAAACCAGAGCTTGCCATTATTTTCAGCCCTAATTTTTAAACCAGCTCTGCCTAGTCTAGTTACTAGTTGGATTTCTAAATCAGATGCATTACAAGAAGAGGTGCATGCTATCATTTAGTTATGCATGTTCAATGCAGACCCATTCAAGGCAGCTTGGATAATCAAGCCTTCCATCTGTGACTGCTTATAATGTAAGCCTGAACTAATATAGCAGCTGTGACAACTGCTAGGCGTTTGATTATTAGGCAATAAAGGGGATGCGGGTTTATTTACAGTAGTAACCTCTTCAGCGTGTGTTACTTATGCTATCAGTTTAAGCTGCTAGGCAGAAACTTTGAGTCATGTTATGAATCCAATCTGAATCTTGTGTGATGATGTGTTTACTAACTTTTAAAAAAAGGCTTATTATTATTAATGAATTTGTTAATATGAATTTATTAATTCTATTAATTAATGAGTATAATTTAATTTTTAAAAAACCCACCATGATTTACCATGATTTAAACTACCTAGCTGTGCCTCCGTAAACATGTACATTGCAGAACGCGAGGGCATATCCCCACACTAGGGCTTCCCTTATTTAGTTTAGAATACTCTGTTAGATTTGTAGAATATAGATTAAATTTCAGTGATGTATTTTATCTTTATATTTTCTGGAATTACATGATCAAAACTGTAAGCAAGAGAAATCTTCACTAAAACTTCCTTAACCTGTGTTTTCAGCTAAGACATATGTAAAGGATAACAAGGCATTTCACTTTGTATGCTCACCACTGCTTCTGTATCATTCTCAGTACAGTGATCTGCCATTTAAGGCTGCATATAGACATTTCTGAGAGAAAACCTTGTGTCTGCAGTACAGTGGTGATAGGTGTGCACACGCGTTTTAGTTCACATTTAGTAGCCTTGGTCTGAAATCCTGCCCACTGTGGCTTTCCGAAACTGAGTCCGATACGAGTTCGCTTTGGAGGTTAGCAAAAAAGACAGCAAGCACTTAGGCCAGCTCAGACCTTGTGGTCTGAGTTACAAACATACAGCTGGTTTTGCAGCGAACTGTGGCTTGGCAAGGAAGGATAGGATTGATAGTGGACATTCTTGGTAAATATGGTTCCTGAAATAGGCTTCTGTGATCCTGATCCCTCACTTACTAGCGTCCTTGTCTTAGTCTGGTTCATGCTTGAGCAATCAGCACCTGCCTGCCATCTGTCAGAATTTCCTCCCTTTATTCTTTGCTGGAAGTGCTTCGATAAAAGCTTTGGTAGGGAGGATTAGAGAATCTAGAATTTCTTGCCTCGAGGTTTTACCTGTAGCTTCTGTAAGAACTTTATGTTGGCTTTTCTTGAGGTGTAGCCTGTGTAGATCTTTATACCTCCTAGAAGGAGGGTGGGTTTGTACCCACTCTGAGCTGAGATTCTAGTTTACAGCTGTGCCTTTCTGAAGAGATTAACACAATATTTATGCCCTGCTACCTTGCAGAGTGACCATCTCTTCTGCTTTCCAGTCCCATGCATTGTGCTTGTTTCTTCGGATAAGAATTTTCTGCAGTTGTGAGGTCCCTGTCTTGCAAAATAAGTTAGCTGTATGAAGGGGCTCTGACTTATACAGGGCCTCGGATCGCTACTGCAAATTAAAAGCAGTTTCTTTTTAAACTTCTCAAAGTCAGTTGTTTTGGGTCTCAAATCTCCAGTTGTAAAGCATGGATGATGCTATTTTTCTAGCTGTTTGGAGCATAGCTCTCAGTGATGTGAAAGGCTGTGTAAGCATCTCAGTGGAATTTGAGTACAGGCTGAATATCCATCGGGGTGAAGGAGTGGTTCCCAGCATGCTGAAGAGAGACATAGCTTCATTTTGTACAGTACATGCTCCCAGGTGTTTCCTGGAGTCTATAGTAATTTAATATCATTGGAATTTGTAGGCCAGAAATGGCTGCAGACTTTGGCTGTCATAATTAAAATTGTTATTAAAGGCAATATTGCAGTGATTAAATTTATCCCTAGGGTATTTTTGCAACACACTAATAACTTTGGTTGTTATCCAGTATGTGGAACAAAACATGTTGAATTAGATTAAAACCTAAGATGTATTGGCTAAGGACATCTGGTTTTCGCATCATTTTTTGGTGTTGCTGGTCAGCAGTGTGGTTCAAGACAAGGTCAAAATTTTTGTGAGGCCAGGGAAAGAAGGCAGTTATGGTGGGTTGCCTCCGGGATTTAAGTAGAATGGGAGATGGAGTTTCTTGCACTTGTTTCTTTAAGGAAGCTCAGCTTTCTGAACTAGTCAGCTTTGTTTTCCTGGTCTCTGGCCACAAATTTCACTGCAAGTCACAGGTTAATGTGAGAGCTGTTGAGATGGGAAATGACTGCTGTTATATGATTATACAGAAAGGGAAATTATGCTAGGAATATAGCGTGTGGTGGTTACTTTTCTGTTTGAACATCTTGCTTAAACTTAGCTTGGTGCTTTATTTTACTATCACTGAGAATCTTTGCATTGAAACCCCTCCCTTGTGAGAATAGGCTTTGGAGGAAAGGAGTATGTTTTTATCAGTTTGTCTCAGGGCTTGACCAAGACACGTTTGATAAATTGTTAGAAAAGCATTCAGTAAAATACAGTGAAAATAGCATGTTGTAGCTGAGCTGTTTCAGATGTAGTACACAAATCCATGCTGGTTTTTAAAGCCAGTCTGTAGTGCATGACCCTGTGCAGTAAAATGAATGCTGATCACTGTTTCTTTTTAGCTGAGCTTTTTCCTAGCCGTCTTTCATTATCTTCTGTTTCATAACAACTGCCAGCCTTGATGGTGTTTAAAACAGACAATCTCAACCATTCCAAAATGTGTCTTTGCGTTCTTCCTGTTGAGGTACAATCTGGATAATGAACATTCAGCAGTTATAGGAACGTGTAAATAATCTCTCCCTCTTTTTAAGCACATTAGATTGTAAAGCACAGGTGGAAGATCTGTTAACAAGAAAGGCAAAAGACTTAAGCTTTTGATGGATAAGTAAACAATAGGTTCGAGCATAAGCTTTTTATCCTTCTGAGTCTCCACCTTCTCTCTCTAGGTATTAGGTGGAAAATAAATACAGCATTCTGAGGTCAGCCCTACCCCTTGTAGGCTTCCCCTCCCCTTCCCGTGGGAACAGTTGCTGAACTTGGTTTTGCTCTGTCTGGTCTGGGAGTTGGCAAGAGCCTGTCAGGAGGAGGTGTACAATTCTGGGTATGGATTGTGGCACCTTTGCAGTCACCTAGAGAAGTGGATTGTACGCTGGGCGAGCGACACAGATGGGTCCATGAGGACCTTGGTGGCTCAGTGTCTCAAGAGAAAGCTTTCCACTAGGGAACAGAAACTAGGAACAGCACACACGAAACCAGCAGAGAAGCTGCTGTAACGTTATGGGAATTGGAAGCTGCTTTAACAGGACATCTGACCCCCTGTTTACTATCATGTAGGTATTTTAATATTTTTTTATTTTTTCTCAAGATAGGATTGGTGTGTATGCCTGTGATGTGGATTGCAGGGCAGATAGAAAGGTCTGTGTTATTCCTGAAACACTCTAGCCACAACACTGCTGGTCTAATCTGCTCTGCTTTTCAGCAAGTGAGCTAGGATGTGCAGTCTGCAGCTTAGGTTACGAAATGTGCTGAACTCCTTATTACTTTGAGCTAGCAGACTGCCTGAGCCATTAATGCTTCCATGCAGCGTACACCCTGGTAATGTCCATAAGCATTGCCTTAAACTTAAGGATGGGACAAGGGCAGCTGAAAGTCACTTCCACTTTCCCTCTGAAGCAATGTCAGACTTTCTGAAGAAGTTACGAACTTTCTCCTTACTCCTTTCTTTCCCTGCCCCCCCTCTCAGAGGCTCTGTTTTAAAGATATGTTTTAATTGTGTGAGACTTGATTGGGGTGGTGTTCTTTGGGAAGTATGTGGAGTGTAAGTGGCACAGCTGGCAGTGAAAGCCAACATGCCCTCCTGCTATGATGTTTAGGGTTGCTTGATGATATTTGTAGCAGGGCTTCCCCTGCTCTCTGTAGGCAACAGGATGAAGTTGCTAAATCCAGATTTTGATGACTTTGGTTTGCAGATGTTGTACCTTATGAAACATCTATGTTAAAAAGTATTAATTTGTATGCATTCACATTAATCATACTTGGCCCTTGGTGAGCTGCCTTGCCCTAATATAATTTGTGGTTTGTGCATCTCACGGTGTGTGGTGAATTTTTTCTTCTTTGGAGATAGTAGATTTTATTTTTGCCCTACGCAGCTCCCTCAAGGCTCTTGAAGTTCTGAAAGGTGGATGATCTTTTTTTCCTTCATGGCTAGGTATGCTGTGTGTGAGTGGGTGTAATAGTTTTGAATCGTCGTGTTTATATATAATGTTCAAGTTCTTGAGTCAGCAAGATGACATTCTGATGTCAGACAGGAGGGAGAGACCCCACCATAGTCTCTCACAATTTTTGATAATGTTTGCAGATGATAAGCTTGGGTTTTCATTAGCCCAGTGTATTACTCACTAGTTGTCTTTCTGCCATCAGTGGAACAGTGCATAAGTGGACTGACCTTCCTGGGGAGACCAACTTTTAGGATCAAAGACCCTGTTATTTTATTGTTTTCTCTCATGTGCTCTTCAGAAATCACACCATATTTTTCTGTATGTAAGTGTGGCACCCTTGGTTCTTGTATGACAGACCTCAGCTGGAGCAGAGCTTTATAAAGTAAGAATAGTAACAATAAATTAAGTTGTTTTCTCTTATTTTGTTTTTTCTTTCCAGTGTCCTAGTGAGTCCTCGACAGAATTTGACTCGCATCACATTAAAAGGGACTTTCCAGGGGGCTAAAGTAGTCCGTGGCCCTGACTGGGAGTGGGGTAACCAGGACGGTAAGCTGCTTTTGAGATGTCCTGTAAAACACCATTTAATTTTTTTATTTTTCTTTTCCCCCAAAATTGATAGTTGAAAATGCATGTGCTGAGCAGTAGCTTCTAAGGGAGCTGTTCAGAGGATGCAGGTTGCAGTTCTTCAGAGTATTAAATATATTTGTTTCGTTGTATTTGGATAAAAACATACCGGTGACATAAACTGTATGCATTTATTCAGGGTGTGAGAGGGAAGTTTTGCTGCTCCTATTTCATAGATGTGGAAACTCACGGGAACCACCCTGTAAGATCTAGTATAGAGCTATAAATGTACACCATGTTAAAATGAAACAAAGATACATCTTTTCGTGGAAGAGCTTACATTCACAGTGGGAATAAGTTTTGTCTGACTTTGTGAACAGTACTCCTTTTTCCTTTGGAGTTCTTGGGAATATTATTGTTCGGACACTTTAGACGGTTTCTCTTAACGGTTCTTAAAGGGATGTTTCACCTTGAGCATTAATGAAGAACTGTTTGCTGTGGTTGCTGGAGAACAGTTTCTACTTCCTGTATGAATTGTAACTTCAGACTGAAAATGCAAAGGAACAAAAATGCCTTTTCTAGAGCTGCTATTGGGTTATAATGGTTGGCTAATTCACTGATACCAATTTCTTTGTAGCACTACAGGATTAAGGAAGCTTTACTGTCCGTTTCTATTCCAGTGCCTTGTACACACTGTAATGTTTACAGCTTCTTTTTTCCTTTAATAATTAAGTTGTAAGTCCAAAGGTTTCCAATACTGACTCAACCATTTTATTGCGGCTCTGGGTTCAGAGGAGGACTTGGATACCTGCAGGGTCTGAGAGAAAAAGAAGCTTATGCTTAGTACAGCTTATCCATCAGATCAACATTTACATGTCTGAGACTTGTGTTGGTTATGATGATTGTGCCCTGAAAGCAGTGGTATGTGCAAGATAAGTGAGAAAAAACAGCCACTCAGCTGGTCTGTAATGAGGACTGCCTTGTCTTTGATGGAGCTGCCCCCATCCACAGCCGTTTCCTCTTCTGAACTTAGCTTTCTGGTAGCACTAACACATCAACTCTATTTCCATTTAAGGGAGTAACATGTAAGTAGTGGGAATAAATAACCTTGCAAACTCTCTAATAGGGTCCTGGTAAGTTTATGTATTGATCCTGTGGTCTTGTGTGTCTGATAAGGGCAATAGCAGCTAGTTGAGAAATCTGATCGAATGGTCTTGCTTTTGATTGACTGTGTCTTTGGTATTTTTGCTGCCTGAAGCCCTTTGCAGAAATTAGCACTGACTGCAAAATTTGCCAGTTGACCAAACTTTTTTCTCTGGTGTGGTCAGGGTGGGCTGGGCCCCTGCAGCTCTTCAGTCACTTCTACATTTTCATTGAATACATATTTTTCCTTACTTGGAGTGCAGACAGCATGGAAGTGGAAGCTAGTGACCTACTCAGAGAAAAGCATTGGAGCAGGATGAGGGGGGAGATTCCTTTTTGCTGTTGCTGTTCAATCTGAATCCCTGCTGTGACAGACAAACGTTAAGTTCTTTTGCTGGTGCTGAGTTTGTGGGCACTAATTCAAGGCCAGCGATACCTACCAAGTTTTTTACAGACTGAAAGAGTGGGAAGAGGACAGCGATAATAATATAGTTCAAGGAACACAGTGTTGATGCAAGATCCCTATCTTCCTGTACTTGAACATGGGTACCATCCAGCAGCTCTCCCTTCCCATGATTGGATATTGGAAGTAGCCTTCTTTTCTAGGAGCTGTCATCCTGGTTAGTTTTGGACTGGACAGTTGTTTATGATTATCTGCAGAAAGGAAAATGAAAATTACTGTTAGCTGCCCTAATGCTAGGATCTGAGTTCTAACCTGGAAGGCCTTCTTAGGCACACCTGTGAAGGTTACATCATAGAAGTGTTTTTGGTAACTTAAATTGTGTTTTCTTAGATAATATTCACATGGGTGGATATCTGGAGTGCTGATCTGGTAACTGGCTGCAGTGTGCATTGGGTACAGAACTAGCATCCACCTGCCATTTCTAGGGAAAGATTTTAAAGGTAGATCGGATTTCAAAAATACTTTTATTCCTGTAAAAGTCAAGAGATATTGGGACTTTCTGATTCTCAGACAAGCCCTTTAAAGGTGTGATCTTGTCATTGATAGAACTGACAATAAAATCCACTAGTTTGTGTTATGCTTTTTAGATAGAGATGCAGTTAGATGAGGACGTTAACTTCTTTAAGCTGTTAAATTCCAAGACTTTGCAGGCAATTGGAAGCTCACTGTCCACTCAGATGCCCACAGACATCTGTTACTGTCCCTGTTGGGAAGACACTAGACCAGTGCTGGGACCTGCTCAAGTTCACACAGTGACTTGGCAGCAGAGTGAGGTAGGGAATCTGCAAATTCTGACTGCCTGTCACTGGGTTCTGTGTTGACAGGCTGGTGTATCTTGGATGAGAGTATGTCCCACGTGCCCAGCCAGATTTGCCTTCTCACAAATATATCCTTGTGTTCTGGATTGTTTCTGTAGCACTCTTCCTTGCTTGGGCAGGTGAAGAGAAGTATCAGAACAAACTTTACTTGATGTTCCTCCATCTGGCCAGCGTTGGGGAGAGATTAAAGATTTTGGGTGGATTTTACAATGGTGCTTTGTTTTTATCTTGCCACAGTGTGGTGCCATGATGCTGTATTGCCTAGCTAGGCAGTGTTATGTACACCGGGAGGAATGGCTGCTTCTACACACAATTCAGATTTTCCATATTTGTATTCCAGAGTAAATGGCTGGCTGGATTTCAGTCAGTTTAATGTAGAGATTCTCTCCTAGTTGGTCCAATTGAATTATCTCATGGTTTAATTTCCCTAATTAAAAAGGTGACTGAGTTCTTTTGTGCCTTCAGCAGATCAAGGTGAATCATGCAAGCTGTGAGGAAGTTGTATGAGCTACTGAACAATTTATTTTTGTGTATGTGTCATTTCCTTTCATGTAAGTGGAGAACTCTTACTGGAGGACATTGCTTCAGGCAGCAGTATGCTGTCAGTGAAGCAGAGCAGTGTGCTTCTGTTCAACATGTAATGCTGACCTGATAAGGCCCCACAGAAATCCTTGCTGGAAACCTCACTGTCTCTGTGCCTGTTCCTCTGTGGTGAATAGTTGGAGAACTGACAAGTTTTTTCCTTGTTTTTCATGTAGTTAACATAAAAAGGTCAATTAAATTATATCTCAGTAAACACCCCAGTGTTGAGTGAATTTCTGTATATTGGTCTTGGTGAAAATACAAGCTGGACACTTTTTTTCCCCTCTTTTTCCATCAGGTGGTGAAGGTAAAACTGGACGTGTGGTTGATATTCGTGGCTGGGATGTGGAGACGGGACGCAGTGTGGCCAGCGTTACATGGTCTGATGGTACCACAAATGTCTACAGAGTTGGACACAAGGGAAAAGTGGACCTGAAATGTACTGTAGAGGCATCTGGTGGCTTTTACTACAAAGAGCATCTCCCAAAATTAGGTGCGTAGAGACAAGTCTTCTGTTGAGATATTCTGATTCACGCTGTCATTTCGTGACACTAAAGCAATTTTGCTTGGATGACAGAAAATCAGCAGGTGTTTTTTTCAAGTTTTCGCATAATGTGTACCATTTAAAAGAAGTGGTCTGTGTGTGAACATACTGCTTTATTTCAGAGTGGTTAGTAAAGTAGCTTGGCTTTTCAGTGGTAGGATTGTGTAAAGACTGATTCCCCCAGCTGTATTCCTAGGAGAGATCTTCTGCCAAGGCAACTTCTTGCTTCTGCAAAATGCATGAAACTCGCTTGGGAGTGCCTGCATCTGTCAGCAGAGAGTTCAACCCACTGTCAGTTTTGTTAATCCAAAGCTTTTCATTCCTTAGGCAAACAGTGGCCCAATTGGTGTTCACTTTGATTTTAGACAGCAAATATTGTTCTGGTGGACCAAAAAGTATGTTGAAGGGGATTGTGACAAGAGGGAGATTTCTGAGAACGGAGCTGCCAAATATCTTCCCATCAGGGAGATTAGAAAAAGTCACGGAAAAAGGTGATGTCTATATTGGCAACTTGTTACAATCCACCTTTCCTCTTAACTCTAATGAAACCAAGGAAACTACTTGAGGTTTTGGACTTTCAGCATTTATTTACTACAGTGTAATTTAGTTCTGGGTTTTTTATGATTATCAGGGGCCATCTTTTTCTCCACTGAAGGAGAACGGAGAGGTCTGTTCTTGAATTTGCAGCAGCAGAATCAGGTCTTTCTAATTCTTTTCTCTCCCTGAGCAGCTTGGCAAAAGCATGAGGGAAAGGAAGGGTTGGATGAGGAGCTTATTCCCAGGGGTATGGCCTCTCGCTACACAGGAAGGCTAGGAGGGTAAAGCACTCCACAAAGCAAGCTATGTGGCTGCCTATGGAAGAGAATTATTTTAAGTTCCGTGTGGGTGTGTCTGCTGAAAAACAGTTGTGGGTGACTGAATTGCTAAGAACAGCTACTGATGTCTGATGTGACATGAGAGGCATCGTTCAAAGGCTTTCCCTCTCTGGGAGGGAACAAAATTGTCTTGTTAGAACTACCTCATGTTTAACCCCTATCAATAGCCAGTTAGAGCTAAACTGTCTAGATCTCTCTACATAGTGCTGCCCCGTAGAGTGTGTAGGGCATATTCCACAATAGAAAAAGGGTTTTACACCATTCTGTCCCAATTAAGCCTATGTTAATTTGCAACCCTTGATACAAAGCCAAATGAGACACAAAGTGTATTATTGCATCCTGCACGTGTGGTTCTTCTCTTTAGGAAAACCAGCTGAACTGCAGAGGAAAGAAAGCACAGACAGGCATCCATTCCAGCATGGGGACAAAGTGAAATGCATGCTAGACATTGACATCTTGCGGGAGATGCAGGAAGGCCATGGTGGCTGGAATCCTAAAATGGCTGAGGTATGCTTCTGCTTGCTCCTATTCTCTTGGTAATGTAGCGGTCACTATCTCAGACTACGTAAGTAGGCACTGGCTAGGAAGTTAACATCTTTGTGTAATATGTTACCTTCTACATTTATATTGTGTTGACTGAATTACAAATACAAATTCTTTAGTGATAGGACGCTGGAGTCAGATTTATTTTTAGGCTCGGATAAATCCGTGTCGTATGAGAATTGCCGTGTGGAGCCCTGCATTATTTCTGAGACTCTGCGATGGGTCAGAACAGTTGCTCAAAAGTCTTGGAAGCCAGTGCAAAAAAACTAATGGCTAGTTTGTGTGTTTTAAATTAGCTGTGGATCTTTTCCTTGGAGTTCTGGATCCATTCCCTGTTTGTCGTCTGTTGTACTGTGCATTACTACTAATGAAAGTTATGTGTTTTGTCAACAGTGGGCTCTATCCCTGGCCAGGGCTAAAATTTCTCAGCCCATATGATGTTCTTGGTGCTTAGCCAGTTGTCTTCTCTTCAGTTTGAAGAGCTATCAGTGTGTTGTCACCTGTTGTCTAAAAGAACCTCAGATAGTAGAGGAAGTAAAGATAGAAATGACACCTATTACTGTAGTATAATCTCTTGGGGGACCATCATGGAAGTAAGTGTCCAGAGGGTTGTGAACCTTTGGTGTGGGCTTACATTCAGATGAAATTATAATATCTTAAGTAATACGTTTTCCATTTAAATTAAAAGATCTGTGCTCTTTGTTTCTCCTTAAATCAACTTTCTTGACTTTTGATAGTCTATAGATATTGTCCAAAATAGATTAAATTACCTTCATCTATTGAAGAAGTAAGTACTGCTGTTGTGCAGTAGATTTACTGCAAGACAAAATCACATTTTGATACCATTACAGTAATAAGACCTGTCTCTGAGCTTGTATTAGTAACTTGTATAAAAGTGTCTTTTTGGAAGGAGAGGGAAGTATATAGCCACAAGTGACGCAAATGCCTGCTATACTTGAGTCAATAAACTGAATAACCTGCAGGTCTGGTTCTGAGACAGCTGTCTGAAGCCTTGGTATATGAAGCAGTGCTATAAAATTATAAAGATATATAATATATGTATCCTAGTCCAACCTGCCCTGTAGGTGACGAGTCTTTTTTGAAATCAGACTTTAAAATGTTAAGACAAATGATGTCATTTCAGTTTCAATGTGGAAATCTATTAACTGAGTATTAGTCTGAGCATCTTAGCCTGGCCTTCAGGGATCGACAGTCTTCTGGTATGAGCTTTAAGGACCTCTGTCAGTGTAGCCATGCATTTTTTTATTCCAGCTAAGGCCTTTATCCCCAGAGCTATAGTCTTTGAATGTTGCTGTATAGCTAACATAGTCTGTTAGCTTGTTAAACCTCTCTACTTCTGAATTCCTGTTGTTGGTGAATGCAGGTATAGAAAGGGATACTAAACAGAGAAAGAGTAACTTCCTGTCATCTCAGGTGGTCTCCTTCAAAACTTATCTGCTCAGGGCCTGCCAGAATCAACAAATAAAGAATACTGCACTGTACAACTATACTTTGTTTTCTGTAGTCTCTTCTCCCATGCCCTTTTTTTTTTTTTTTTACCTCTCAGAGCATGCCTTGCTGGTATTAAACTGCAGAACAATGTAGTAATCTCTGCCCACCTTTGTCATTTGGAAAGGGGAGGACAATTTGTGCATTTTCAAGGATTTTCACACTTTGTATTCCTATCACCCTCTTCCCCCAATATGTAGCTACTTCAGAGGAGCTTCTTAAGCAGCCTTTCCATCCTTTTGCAGAAAAACAATGAGACTGCATCTCATTTAAAGCAGGTTTGGGAGCACTGTTAGTCTGTGAATTGGAAATGGTGGGTAATTTAGCCATCTATGTCTTGAATGCCTGCTTTCACCACTATTAAGCAATGTGATTTATTTGGTGGATTTCCCCTACTACTTTTTTTCCCTTCTATCAAAAAGTTCATTGGCCAGACGGGGACTGTGCACAGAATCACGGACAGAGGGGACGTGAGGGTCCAGTTCAACAGTGAAACCCGCTGGACTTTCCATCCTGGAGCTCTGACTAAGGTAGGTGCTGATAGGTGAGCTTGGCCAGAACTAGAAATGCTGCAGGGTGTAGCTGTCAGTTCAGCCTGCTGTGTTAGCACACCACGTGTCTCAAGCAAGTGCCGAGGAAATATATTGCTATTTTAAAAGCAGTACTTCTAGATAGAAATTCCTGCAAGCCATCAGACCTAAGACAGATGGTTGCAAAGAGTGGGAATTGGGCTACTAGGCTGTCCAGTTTTCTGAACCTTTGTATTCCAAATGTAATTTCTTAAGTTAAATTCCATTTCTTAATTTCAGCTTCTTTGAGAAGAGTGGTAACAGTAGACCTACAGTAGCTCATCCTTCTGCAGCTACCGTTCATCTGTGATGAACCTTCTTCCACATCATTGCAATTTGATTTTGTTTTCTTCCTTGTTCTTGTGTCTTCATGTTATTCTCCTTTTTGCATCTTTGTGTCACTTCTCTCTGATTCTTCTGGATGACCCAAGTCTTGAATCCAGCTCTTCTGATTTTGTCTGCATTTCTAAAGCTCATAGCTCTGCCCTTCCCCAGAAGCTTGAGGACTTGAAATGTAGATGATTAGAAACAGGGCTAATAAGGATAGAAGGAGCTCCTGGAAGACTACAGAGTTCTGAAAGACCTGAACAAGGTCACAATGCTAAAAACTCCAATACCAGTGGAAAACCCAGTGTCAGATTGTTTTGTACAGAATTACTTTGCTTTGAAAAGTGTTTCTGACAGTGCTCCCTTCTTAGCTCTGAGAAAGGGAGCATCTGGAAAATTGCCAGCATTGATAAACTCGGGTTTCCCTTCTGTGTTTTAAATAACAAACAGATTTAACTTCCTTGATCAAGTGAATTAAGATCTCCAGTGTCATGTCAGGTATAGTGAGGAGATGGACCAAGTAAAGTTCTGTATGTGCTTTGTATTGGTATTAATTTTAAGTGGTTTAAAGAAGAAAGAAGAAGAAAAATATTCTGTCCCAATTTATTTCCCTACTTAAATGTGCACTTGGCTTAAAACAGAAATACCCCAGCCCTTGGACTATGTCTATTTTGCAGTGCAGTGATTACAGATTCCTTGGTAGTTGTACTTACGTTTGTAATGCCTTGGTTTTTGAGTCAACGGGCTTCTTGTTTGGTTGGGTTTTCTGAGGGTGGAGGTGGGGTGGAGGGGCTGATTGCTGGGTTTTTTTCTGGCTTTGTCCTCCAAAAGCTTATGACTTTCTTTTTCTTGTAGCTCAACACCTTTTGGGTTGGTGATGTTGTCCGGGTGATAGATGATATGGAAACAGTGAAGCGATTCCAGCCTGGTCATGGGGAGTGGACAGATGAAATGGCACCTGTGAGTGCACACCAGTTCCAGGACAGTCCAGTAACTTCCTGAGTTTTTCCAATCAATTAGTAATAGTGACTGGGCTTGCGTTGCCCGCCAGTATTCCTGCTGGTCAGTGACTGCACAGACCTTTCTGGGACTGCTGAGGCATTGCAAAATAAATGTTGCCTAGTGCTATTGACTATCGGTAACACAGTCCTATTGCACACCCAAAGCAAAGTGGGTAGATGGGGAATCTGACAAAGGATTTGGCTACCAGTAAGTCAGATAAGAAATTTCACTAACCAAAGTAAACAAGTCCTCTTATGCCCTCCCGAATTCCCTAGAACAAGGCAGGAAAGTATCCTGGTGGAAAAATGGTCTCATCAGACCAGAATGGCTAAAAGCAGAATACAGGTGTCCTCCAGGAACAATTAAATGCACGGAGGGAACTTTTCCTAGTCCCAGTTTTATCAGTTCTCTTGGGGTTCTTCAGACCATGTGTTGTTGTTTCACCACCTTCCTCTTCAGACATTTGTAATGTGTCTGGGAAACCCTTCTTATGTAAAACCAGTAATAGAGAAACTGCTGAGAACACTTTGGTGTCCTTGAAGTGGGAGCTGTCTGCTTGTGTGTCACTATTCAGTGCTTCTTTTCACACAGCAGGAGTGTTGCCTGCGAAACCACTCTTAGAAGCATGGCATTGGTTCTGAGAAGCAGAGCATATTGCATCTTACCTTTTAAAAATCATTTCTCTCTTTCCGTTGCAGGCCCTAGGGCACATCGGCAAAGTGATCAAAGTCTATGGGGATGGAGATTTGCGAGTGTCGGTTGGAGGGCAGTCCTGGACGTTTAACCCAGCTTGTCTGACAGCGTATCAGAGAGATGAGGAAGCAAATCTCATGACAACGGAGAATGCGAAGGAATCAAAAAGTGAGATAGTGAGAACAGAGATGTCTGATCTGTCAGGGATTGTGACATGGTTGCTCTGGTGTAACAGCAGCAACGCTCTTTGCATAGTGTTAAACTCCAGCGGCCTGTTCTTCCCCAGACAGAGCTCCAAAACCAAGCTGTGCCTTACTGGGGAAGCAAAGCTGGCCTTAACAGGGGAATAAACACTAGAATGCTAACCGTAGCACTGCCCTAGGTTCAGTATTTGCTTCTGCCTTGATCTGTCTCAATTTCCTGTTCCATCCTGCTGCATTTCTCGTCGGAGGATACTAATTCTTGAATGCTTGTGAAATATTTCTAGGTCTCTGTGTGGAAGTGTTGTCAAATCAATGATTATTTTGCCCAGCCTACCCCAAAATTGAATTTGAGATCACTTGATGTGTAGAGAGGATTTTGCCTGTTTTGCACATCTGCTCATAAAATTTTTTGTAGCCTCACAATACTTGTTTCCTTTAGAGGTCAGGATCATACAGGAGAGAAGACAGACCTGCCATTTTTTTTTGTTTTGCTGTGTAGATGGGTCTTAAACTGTTTGCTCAAGTTAGACTTCAGGGAGAACTTGCATACAAGCCCTAGCTTTTTAACTTTTCTCTGCCTGGAGAACTGTAACACCTCTGTCCTCTTAAGCACTCAAAAGTCTGTAATTAGAGGGCCCATCTGAAAGAACCAGTATTTCTTCCCTACGGCATCCTATATGCATTCTTCTTCAGATTAATTGCCTTTTAGTAGTGATTTTTCTGTGTTGGTCTTCTGCAGAGTGGTCTCATGTCTTTTGGGTTCTCAAAACATCAGACTTGTAAAGCAAAAGTTCTGTGTAACCCACAAATGTGTAAAGCTCTTTGAGCAAAGTATTAGAGGTACAGCAGGCCCGTACTGCAGCTTACAGCTCTAGTGTACCAGTTGTGCACATGTATACACATGCTCTTTGGCCCTCCTAACCTGTGCCTTTCTCATTCCTACCAGGTACTTTGACTACTGTTTTGGAGAAACTGCTCTCCCAGAAGACAGAGTCAGAGCATGCAGGCTGCCTGGTCATTTGTGCAGCACTCAACAATGCAGCTAAAATTCGGGAGCTTCTTCAGAAGTACCCGGACAAGGCAAGTTTTGAAGACATCTTGAATGGTTACTTTTTGTTGATCTTCTTGAAAATACTGTCATAAAATTTTGTAGTCAAGTGGGGAAAAGGATGGGAGAAAAATAACAGATTTTTCAGAACTAGTATTAGCTCCTAACAGCTGGAAAATTATTTTGTTGCAATTTAGGATTAAATTTGTATGTGAAATGTGCATATTTTATGGCTCCAGTTTGTGGCATTAAATCTGAACTAAAGTTAAGACCCTACAGCACCTTTCCAAAGCTGGCTTTTCCTGGATTTCCTATATGAATGCCCCACCTGAAGAATTAGTGGGAGAGGTATTTATATGAAAACAGGAGCAAGTTGTCTGAGTATCTAGACTCTGTTTGAAAAGAAATCCATGGGTTGTGTCTGGCTGAATGTGTCTGTCCTTAGATGACCTTGCAAAATGGTATTGTTGGAATTGGGAAAGAGAGAAGCTGCCCAGATCCTGATGCTGTGCATGTCTGTGCAGTGTCTTATCTCCTGTCTGACTGGAGCAGAGAACTGGGCTTGACTTGTTGCTGTACAATTTATGTGCTTGTAGAGTGCCAGACTGTTGGGATCATATCTACTGAAATCACTGCTCTTTCAAGCTGCCTGTTTGAAGGTTCAGTCTCCTTCAGTGAGCAGTACAGGGTTTATAAACAGGTTAAAAAAGGAGAACCAGGGAACGAAGTATTTCAGCATTGTCCTTGGAAACCATTGATAACAAAACATAAGTTCTGTTGAGGCTGCGTCTGCATGGCTAGCAGGAGCAGCTGGGTACGTGAACCAGGAAAACTAGGATCAGTTCTGAAGGAACCCCTGTGAAGCTGATACAGTGGTTAGTTGTCTGGTACTTATTATAGCTCTTTATTTACAAAGTTAATGGGGCCCCTGGAGGTGGGAGGAATAGACAAATACCTGCAGTTGTCCCAAATACTGTCAAGAGTCAGTAATCCATTATGTTGTTAGTTATTTTTATTCTATATTCTATTTCTATTTTACTATTTTTATTAATAAGTTATTTCTGTTAGAATGTTCCATACAGCAAGAGGAGGCTGGATTTGAGGCTCACTTAGTAGTGCAAATTGGAATTGTCAGGGCTTTTCTAGCTTATCGGCATTGTCTGTCTTGTGTAAATGGAAGAATAACACAGTGGCCTCTAATGCCTCCTTGCCTAAATGACTTGCCCATCATTTTGAGTGAATCAAGGGAAGTCTTGCCTGTCCTGCTGTCTTGACTGCTGCGTAGAACCAGCTGCAAGGAAGAAAAAACTTTGTTCTCCTTGCCTGTCTGCTGAGGTTTTGCTAGCTCCTTCACCTGTTCCCCTTAGCCTCCCACTGAATTCAGTAGCTTCTTTTCCTTTTTGTTTTTTTCTTGCCTTTCATATAGTGTTTCTTTGTTCTTCAGTCCCTCTAGTTCTCAAAAAATCTCATTGCAGCACTTCAACGCTGTGATATATCCTACAGCCATTGTGCCCAGTGAAGCACCTGGAGTAACATAGAACGATGGGGACTTGGCATCTTCAAAGCCTTATGCAAAGCTAATTTGATCTCCTCACACCTTTTCCTATTGGGAAAGGAATTGTTGGCAGATATGTCAACAAGTATTCTCCTTGCAGGCGTAGAGGGATTTGGCATCAGAGCTGCAATTAGATCCCTGGTTTCCAGCTCTGTTCACTTGCTTCTCCCTTGACTAAATTCGGGGACAAGGACAGCCTTATAGTTGATACACGTGAAGTGGAATCAGGGGGCGTGGATTCTGCTTAGAGTTTCTGAGCCTGCAACTGTTCTACAGCCAGTGGCTTCCATCCTGTTAGGCCGGCTGTAGCACAGAGCTAAGGCCTGAACCCAGGGCAAGATCTTTCCTAACCAAGTTGTTTGCTGTGTCTCTCTGCCCTTCCTGCAGGTCGACGCAAAGAACCAGGGTAGAACTGCCCTGCAGATTGCCTCTTATCAGGGGCATCTGGATGTTGTGAAGACTTTGCTTCAGGCACATGCCACTGTCAACCTAAGGGATGAAGAGGGGGATACAGCACTGCACTACGCAGCTTTTGGGTAGGATATCTTCTTGCTGTCTCTGCTACAAGACTTAAAGGGCTGTGAAAAGACATTGTAAATATAAATGGACAGTCTATGTGAAGGGTATGTGGCTGATGGAGGCTTTTATCTGTTTTTACCTTACATGAAAGAGTGGCTTTTGAGCTTCAGGGCCACAGGTGCATTCCTTAACATGTTAATTTAACCTCCACAGCTAGGTCAGCTTCTGTGCTAGAAACTTTGGGGAAATCAGAACAAGTGATAAGGAGGATTTTGGTGATTAGACTTTTTTTCAGGGGAATGATAGGGGTGATTTGGGTGATTTCTATAAGTGTATATGTTTTCCAGAATAAGACAAAAGGTTGAATTGTGTTGTCAGTTACCAGGGAAGAATTCATCATTAGGAGCAGGAGATTCCTGTTGGTTTAAAGCAAAGAGAGACCAGATTCTAGAGCACAAATTAGGAAGGTTTTGTTGTGCAGTTTCTTTTAATACTAAGAGGAGATAGGATGAGGTTGAGAGGATACAAAACCCGAGAAGTTCTGTTGCCTCGCAAGGAGGAAGCATTTACTGTCTGCAAATAATTAAATCTAATCTGTTTTACTGTTTGCTTTAAATCAGAAACCAAGCTGAGGTTGCCCGTGTGCTTATTGCTAAAGGAGCCAGTGCAGACCTATTAAACAACGCAAAGTGCACAGCATTGTATGTTGCTGTTAGTCAAGGATTCACAGAGGTGGTGCGGACCCTCTGTGAGCTCAACTGTGATGTCAACCTCCCAGTAAGTTTTGGGGTTTGTGGGATTTGGGAGGGGGCCTGAGGGGGAGTGTTTGCAGTTTCTTTTTTGTTGTTGTGTTTTTTTTGAGGTGGGGAGATGATTCTTTATGTCTTACACGATTTGTTGCTTTGTAGAATTTGAAGGTCATTCTCTTAAAGCACTACTGTGCATTGCACAGAGGAAGTATTTCTCTGACTTCATGTCCCGGTTTCAGCTAATTTTTCTTCTTAGTAACTAGAATAGTGCTGTGTTTTGGATTTAGTATGGGATTTGACATGGGAGGATGTTGATAATACACCAATGGTTTTAGTTGCTGCTAAAAAATCAAGGACTTTTCAGCTTCCTATGTCCTGCTAGTGTGCAGTTGCACAAGAAGTTGGGAGGGAACACAGCCAGAGCACCAGATCCAAATTGGCCAATGAAATATTCCATATGATGTAAGAACATGCTCAGTATATAGAGGAGGGTTCACCAGGAAGCTCTGGCTCTCTCTTCTGGGATTGCGATTTCGAGGTTTTCTCTACTCTGGGATCACTAGCTGGGAACAGGCTGGGCATTGGTTGGCAGGTGGTGAGGAATTGCATTGTGCATCACTCATTTGTATATTCTATTTCAATTATTAAATTGCTTTTATCTCAACCTACAAGTCTCCTTACCTTTATCCCTCCAATTCTCTCCCCCATCCCCTGGGCGAGGGAGGGTGAGTGAGCGGCTGTGTGGTGTTTGACTGCTGGCCGAGTTTAAACCATGACACTTCAGTGAAATTCCAGGTTTGGGTCTGCCTCTTCATCATGGTGAGTCTGCTCAGCTCAATCCAGTAGCACTCTGCTGTGCTGGACTCGAGCTTCCAGTGAGAGCTGACCTGCTGCTAATGCTGCTATTGTTGAAACTCTCCTGTTCCCAGCAGTAAGGAGTGGTGAGATTTAGACTGGCATTTAGGAACTTGTGGGGCAGGGATGGTGAATTGGACCCAGCCCGTCTTTAGGGTATGCCTCTGCTGGGTCAGTCTCAAAGCTAGTTGGGAATGGTAGCAGCTGGTTTCAAGCCCTGGGGAAAGAATTTCACAAAGGCTATGGAACTAATCTGATTGCCAGTGCTGTTTTGGCCTGGAGTTGATGTGACCTGATGACACTAGATGTATCTTCTTGCCTTGAACTGTCCCTCAGGTTGTGTAGTTTGACACTCTGAAGTCAGTAACCTGTATTCTGCTTTGGTGTCATTGTATAGGATTCCCAGGGAGACACCCCCCTGCATTATGCTATCACTGCAGATTACGAAGTTGTTATTGAGCTTCTCACTGAAGTACCCAACATAGACTTTACCGTCCAGAATTGTCAAGGCTTCAACCTGCTCCACTATTCTGCTCTAAAAGGCAACAAGCTGTAAGTGACCTTTTTTCATTTTTACTGCTTTTACAGATGTTAACTCCTACTTGCTGTCTTAACAGTAAGAAGGTAGCAGATGTAGTTGTAGCTAGGAAGGAAGTGGTTGGTTATACATTTCTTGGGTTTAGATATGACTAGGTGTAGCGGTTGCCCTCTTTCATGCATTTGCAGGAAACAACTGCCTGCTTTCCCCATCACATCTTTCTCACACCTCCCTAGCCTGGCTAGGAAATCTGTCTACTTGTGGGTTGTCTCCTTAGATGTTTGGGTTCACACTGGAAGGACAGGAGAAGGTCTGTAGTAAACAGTACTTGAAAAGACTGTGTCTAACTGAGAGCCTCTGGAATTCTTCCAAGGATAAATCTGCTCATTATTTTCATAGCAGTGTAAGTTTACCTTACTTTATTAACTGATGGCTTTTGTTTTATTCTTGTAATTCAATCTGTGAGATAGTGCTCTGCATCACAAGTGCCAGCTTGTGGTACTGCTTATTAAAACATGAACATTCATAACTACTGAGCAGAAGAGGCAGGCCTGCCTCTTCTGCATTGTTTTCCTTCCTCATAAAGTAACTCTTCCGTCTCTGTTAACCTCCAACACTCTAGAGCCATAAAGAAGATTCTAGCAAGAGCTCGGCAGCTGGTTGACTCCAAAAAGGAAGACGGCTTCACTGCCCTGCACCTTGCTGCTCTCAATAACCACAAAGAAGTGGCAGAAATTCTCATCAAAGAGGTAAGAAACAAAACCAAACCACCACCACCAAAAACTCCGATCTGTCCCACTCCCAAAGCCCCGCATTTCCTAAGCACTATTGAGTTAATGCTGGGACTCACAAGAATGTCTCTGTCTCTTTGAAGAGCTGGTATATTTTGCCAGACTTTGAAGAACAGGGTTAGCATTCCTGGGGGTATTTTCCTTTGGCACTTGCAGTAGAGGAGAAAGGCTATCTTGCAGGCTAGAACAAAGTGGGTTGAAACTGGAGCTTGCTGGGAAATGTTCAGTGAAGTGATTGGTATGAAGGGAAAAGTCTTCAGAATAGCTGGTAACCTGCTCATTAAGGAGTGTGTAGATCTGTATTCAGAACCTTCCCTACTTCACAGGTACAGGTCAGAGCTTGGTTTCCCTCACTCCAGGTGGATGCTGAAGCTCCTCAGATACTATTTTTTCTGTCTGGGTTCCTCGCTCTTTGTTTTCAGGAAAGAATATCTGAAGGCATGTATTTCATTTGAATGCAGAATAAAATATTTTGACATGTTTACTCCAGGTTATTTATCTATCTTCAGTCCTAAGCAAGCACTAGGCCTGCCCCTGGTGAGCAGCATTCTTTAGCAGTGAAAAGGTCAAACTGAAGGATGGTAGTCTAACTGGCATTTTGCTGTTGATTTTTGTGGAATCAAAGCTAGGGTCTGTCTCTGCTTTCAGGTGATAGATAGGTGGCGGTGAAGGTGACAACTACACATCAACACTCCTGGATTTTGTTTCTTCTCAGTGGTTTGTTGCCCATATTTCTCCACCTTTACAAGAGGATCCAAACTGCTACAGCAAGGCTTTAATAGATTTACGAACGAGTGCTGTAGAGGAATGATGTCTGGGAGTACTTAGTACTATGATTGCTTTATTTCTGGCATATTTCTGTGGTAGCATAGCCATATCTTTAAAGGCTGTCCCTAACCCTTCAGGTTTGGCAGAGGGGCAGAATGATTCAGATTAGAACAGGTTTTTCTCCTTGCTTCGAAGAGTGGAAATCAAAGCACAACAGGCAGCAAGGAATCAATATTGTTTTAGAGGAGCTAGTCCATGACTTTGCTTGGAGTAGTTCCAGGATTTGTTTGTGACAGAAGTAACAAGTTGTCATATCCAAGTTATCACCAGGAAAATGTCATCTGTGTGTCAGTTGGGCACCGCGCTTCCAATCTTCCCGTTCTTGATATTTGAGGTATGTGGGCCATATGGCTAGGATATAAAGGGCTGGATCACGTAGCTCCCTTGGAGATCTCTATACTGCTGTCCTAGCAAAGATGGACTTGAGACCTGGGGCCTCAACAAACAGCACAACTGCAGCACTCTTCTTCAGCCAGACTTAGCAGCAACAGCTTGCTCTGTTTGATGCAGTTCTTCTCTTCAAGGGTCGCTGTGATGTCAACCTCAAGAACAACCGTAACCAGACACCACTGCACCTGGCTGTCATCCAGGGCCATGTAGGGATGGTGCAACTGCTGGTCAGTGAAGGCAGTGATGTCAACGCTGAAGATGAGGATGGAGACACAGCCATGCACATTGCCTTGGAACGGCAGCAGCTAATGTCCGTCATGATGGAGAAGCGTGAAGGGGAGATGGGGTTAACAGTCTTTTCCAAGGTGAGCTGAGAGTAGGAGAAATTCCAGCACCAAGGGCAGGAAAACACTTGATGTTAGAGTGACAAGAGGTGGTGGGATCTAAGGGAGCAAAGGAAGGCAGGGAAATTGTGTAAAGCCAGTCCAGATGGGGAGCATGGAAACAAGCCTTCTTGCTTGTGGGAAAGCAAGAATAGATCCTCTGAGGCCTCTGAGGGTATGCTTGAATTTACAGCATGAAACTTCACATAGTCAGACAACAATTCATACTGTCTCCCCTGATATTTTTATTAGTGTTGTGCGCTTCTTTCTTGACATGGGAAAGGTCATGAATCCAGTTGCAGAGCCAAGAGTCTTGGGTTTAATTCATGCCCCAGAACCACAGCAATTCATTTCTGACTGATGGTATGGAAAATATGAGGATAGCTAGCCACAAGCACCCCAGTTATCTGCAGATGTAGAGCAGAATGTGAGAGGTGAGACGCATCAGGCTGAAGGATAAAGGCTATGTTGTTACAAAACCTGAACTGGATTTCACGATTTTGGTATATATTCCTGGATATATAAGGCCTTTCAGGAAAGGCTTTAGATCTAGAAGTAGGTAAACGATATGCCAAGGACTGGAAGCTTAGTCTGGGTTTTTGGCAAAGATATTAAATTAGCCCTTCAAAGCGTTCTGCCATCCATGGAAATGCCAGCATGTGCACACACCAGATTTGCAGTGCAAAGCAAGAGTGCAAACATTGGTTATACTTTATGGATGGACTGAGAATGATTCCATTGTAGAAATAATTCAGCACACTGAAAAATCTGGTGTAGATTTTTGTTTTATTGCAATTAATTTGAAACGAGCAGATTAAATTAAACCAACATTCCAACATTCTGAAGGGCTGCACGCTGCATGCCAAATCACTCATTACTCCTTTCTACCTGTTGGTGCTTGGAAAAGCCTGGTGCATCGCCCTTTTCCGTTCTGCTCATTATTAGGCTACCAGTGTTGATAGCGTGAATTGATGCCTCAAGTGCATGGGCAAAGATGCTCTAGCCTCAGGTCCTCAGGCTTGTTCAGCCACTGACATTCCACAGAGACAGCCCACACCAGCTCAGCCATTGCTTCTTTTAGAATTTCTCTGCCTGCAAATTTGAGCAGAGGGTCAGCAGCAAGGGTAGGTTTTTATCATCTCACTGAAACCCTGCATAACAGCTTTGCTGGCTGTTGGGCCTTAGCTTATGCTAAGGACAGCCAATAGCTAGTCCTGGATGCAGAAAGTCTTAAACATGAGGGATCTGTGCATGTTATTCCCAATACTATTTACAGTAACATTATATCTGGATGCTGTAGACTCCTTCATGTCTAATTTTACTTGCCCTGATCTACATGCCCTGGTCTCTTAAGTCAGTGGAAAATGTTTGTTGACTTGAAATTAGTTTGGAGAATGTATACAAAAACTTGGCTTTTTAAATAGCTGTCGATTAGGGCTCTGTACACCAGCCTTCATCAACTGATGTGTACTGTGGTGTCTTCAGCTTGTTTACTTTTCACTACCTACAGAAGTGAATGCCAATTACTATGGTAAAGTAATGATTAGCACCAGTTAGGACCAGTCTTATGCACTCTTGTTCCTGGAATTCAAGATTTTATGTGCTGAAAAGCATTCTTTTGTCAAAACACAAAAAGATCAAATTGAACTTTCAAACTCTAAGTACAAGGATTAAGACTTTGTTTAGAATTTGACACAGATCAAAGCCATATAACAGAAACCTTTCCTATTAACAGAGAGTGTTTCTCAACATCTTTTAGCTGCAGGCTTCTGGCTTCCTTGGAAATGTAGAGCTGAATGTTGGAACTGCAATTGCATGTTATTTAGCACAAGAAGGAGCAGATATTAATTATGCAAACCATCGGGGAAAGTCTCCTTTAGACCTCATAACAGATGGAAGGATTGTCCAGATTGTCAAAGACTTCTCTCAGAAATTCAGGTAAACCAAGTCTTCGGGAAACTAGCTACAGTAAACTTCCTTGCAAAATGCAGAGTGCTCCCATAGCACTGTGGTGTCACTGCGTGCAGCTATTGTTCCAGGAGGGATGAAGCATCTTTGAAACGCTTTGTACATCAGTCTGAGCACCTCCTGCTTTATCTGGAGCTGGTTGCTGACCATGTGTTTCTGGAGGGGTTATTTAAGGGTGCATACTGCCATTTGAAAAAGTTGGGAAAAGCAGATTAATACTGCTTGGTGCAAACTTGGCCTCTTGAATCTGAGAAGACTGGCCACTGAAGCCAAGAGCAGATTCTGTCTTGCAGAGTAATTCTGGCTTCTGTTTTACTTTCATTGGGTTCCTCAGTTAAAGATATTTAAAGTCTAAGCAGAGAGGAAGTACAACAAAAGGCTGGGCACCAGAATCCACAGAATTTATTCCAGAGCTAGATAAATGCTTGTTTTTCAGCTGATAAGAGAAAATAGCTGAGAAAATGCCAAGGGAGAGCAGCAAGTCAAAGATGGCTTGATCTCAGGTTCTGATCTTGTTTGGATTTTGACTTGGCAAACATGAAAGCAGTTCTGTATGATCTGAGGGCACAGACCCACAGTCATGTTACTGCTGGAGGAGGAACTGTGCAGCAGCAACTGTAATTGGCCATGCTTGTGGCCCACTGTAAATAACAGGTGAAATGTGTCCCTTTAAACATCTTCCAGTGGAATTTTGTCAGTGGAGTATATGTTGAATTAAGTTGTTTTGATTAAAGAATGCCAGTTCTTTCAGGATGACATTTCTCATAACAGTGTACTGGTTTCAGCCTCTGTTGAGGTTTGACTGGAGGATTTGGGAGTGTGTCTGCAGAGTTAAGGCAGCCACTGTAGACTGGGTGCTGCATGCTGGAGCACAGGCCATGTCCACCATGGTGTGTCCCAGCATCGCACACGGGAGCTGCCAGGACAGGATAGTTAGCTAGACCTTCTTAAGCTGCTTGGTTAGTCTGACTGAAAAGAATAAGTCTAGAAGAGAAAGAGTATCTGGGGTTTATATGCATTTATAATGAAGCTGTTGCAACTTTGGTAGGAAGCTAGATAGTTTTGTCCTAGAAACTTACTGACTTTGTATCAAAGGACCAAAAAGCACCCCTTTGCCCTATTCCTGGTGAGCCCGAGATTTCTTGGCAGCACTGAACACATTTGCTCGTAAATGGCCATCCTTGTCCCTTCTGTTCAATCGTTAATCATTCTTACAGTTTAGGTAGTAGGTCTATGTAGCAGTTATCCATCTAGCAAGAAAAGTAATGGATGGATTGGATGTTGAGGACTGTGGATTTAGGGCTCATAATGCCAGGACAGAAGTCTGAATCCAAGCCTGGATTATTTAAGAGGCAAACACAGACAGTCACCCCAGGCACTTTCCAGGAACATGTAAATACAGAGGATCTTTAAGGCCTCACTTTTTAAATAGCTTCTATAGGCTGACTTTTCCTAGCAGATGACTATACTGTCAATACCTTACTGTTGCCTTACAAAAGAGCAGTTTCAACTTGTGTAAATATTAGTCACCCCTGCTCTTTCCCTTCCTTTTTAGATAGATCCAGTCAGAATCTAGAGGCTGAGTTGGTCCCACTAGGGAGGTTCCCAAGTTTATGCTACCTGAGCATCTACTGCTCTGTCTCCATGTGGAGTGTTTGCCAGGGATCAGTACAATGTTACCTGGTTGCTGAAGGAGGACCTGGACTATGTGGCTCAAATTTTATTATGTTCATTGTTTCAGGGAACAACAGGTTTCTTCAGACAGCTCAGCCATCACCTGCAGCCTTCGCCGTGTGCATACCACCCCCAACACAATGACCAACCTTAGTGTCTCGAGTGTGGCAGTCCCCACAGAGTGCCTGGTCTGCTCAGAGCTGGCCTTGCTCATCCATTTCTTCCCATGCCAGCACAGTATTGTGTGTGAAGGTAAGTCCATTCTGGGCTTTTTTTCTTTATTTTAAATTTTTCTTTCCTGTTCCATCACATAGCTTCCCTAGCTGGACTCTCATAAATCAAGCTCAGTTTAGACACAAAGCTACTGTGCTGTTTGTGTCTGGAAACAACCCCAGCATGATTTCAGCACCATCATCTTAGATAAGATGTCCAAAGCTCTCTATGAAAAGCTCAGTGTTCTGACTACCTGCTGATTTGGACCCCAGCTTTGCTGGTGCTTATCAATGCCCTGGATAATTCAGAAGGAAAGCCAGATGTTTCAGTTCTGTCTGGCAGTGCCCTATCTGTCAAAACCCTCTTGAGAAAGATTTCCCTCTTCTCTGGTTTCTGTTACTGGTTTGCTTTTCAGTTGGTTTAATGGCAGCCTGCTCAAATGTGTCAGCAAGTTTATCTCACACTGCACTCACAAACTGACCACAGGGAATTTGTTAAGGACTGTGTGCCAGAGCTGCATCCTTTTCCCTCGGAGCAGAGGGCTGTTTTGATCCACAGTGCAGCAGTTCCAGTTGCACACATCATTGAGGACCTAAAGGTGTTGTATTTGCTACTGGTGTAGGAAAGACCAAATCAAGAGATTAGGGTGTAGCTCAAAAAGAAGATACTGTCCTCATTTCCATGCAGAAACAATCTCTTAATCATCCAGGGAGGTCTCAGGTTGTTCAAAGCTGTTGCTCTTGTACTTGAGTCTGTTGTCTTCCTCTTGATTCTGGCATCAGTGTGCTTAATTGTAATCTCTTCTTGTATCATTCGTGGTAGAATGCTCCAGGAGAATGAAGAAGTGCATCAAATGTCAAGTGACAATAACCAAAAAACTGAAACAAGGTATGTTTGCTGTTCCTGCTGTTAAGTGCTGGGGGAGGGGTCCTGCACAGCATTAGTATGAGCAGCATCAATGATTTTCAGTGAAATAAACATAAGGAAGGGAGTTGTTTTTTTTTTTTTTTTCTGAGTTGTTTTGGGGTTGGTTTTGGGGGGAGTATATGTGTGCCTGTTGCATTGACCACCTTTAGAAAGGAAAAGGTAGGTTCTCTCAGGTGTAATGGGCCAAGCTCAAGCTGTGTGGACAGGATGTTTGAGGAAGCTTGTCCTGTTCCTGGCTTATTTTGTGTATTGAAAGCCAATACCAGGTTCTCCATGTGTCAGTGTAACCGTTTTCACAGGTGGTTATTTAACAGTGAAAATTTGAGAAAGGGAAAATTACATCTTGTGAAAGCCTTGCATCTCCCTTGGCTGAAATTACAGTGCCAATGCAGGGCTGGCATTAGCCAGTTATCCAGGAATCATTGAGCTGGATTGTTTTGATAAAGCTCTTTAGCCCAGTTTTAACCAAACTGTCTTCTGTCCACATTTGTCAGTGTCCAGCGTGAGCAATGTTATGCATGTCAGCAAGCTAGAAGCAGGTCTGCACTTGCTATAGAACTAATGCAGGTTGCCCACTGAACCTTTTTCATAGCAATTGTGAGAGTTGATGTCTTTCTAGCTGAGATCACTCCTAGGGCAAGTGCACATGAAAATGAACTGCATATCCTGCTGCTCATGGCGTAGTGTTGTGGACTCCTTTGTCAGGCTATTGTCTTGTGGTTTAATGCCTGGACAAAAGCAGAGGGGAACCAAGAATCTGTCACATGGCATCGGACATACACAGCTGGCAGACAGAAGTCCTCTTTGGAACTCCATAACACAAAAAATAGCAAGTTCACCTGACAATAGGCAGGAGCATTTGTCTTTGCTACAGACTGGCAACAAAATAACGATGAGGATTCCAAATGAGACATTTGCATGCTGATTTCACCAGAGGAGGAACATCAAGGTCTCTGAAAACACCAGGAGGACTTCCCTATCAGTGATGTCTTCAGTGCTTGCCTTTAGCAAGCTCCCTGTCCCCAAACTTGCTTCACCTTTAGGGATTTGTAATCGATTCTTGCACCACTGAAGTGCAACTAATTCCAGAATGTTGGGGAAAGGGACATTTATACCAAAGTGTAAAGCTACCTAATCAAAGGTTGAGGAGCAGAAGATGAACAATGGGCTGTATTAAGCTGAAACAAGGAGGAATCTATTTACCTAAGCTGGCAGTTGTCTAGGATCTGGGGTTCTTTCATTTCACAGAGTTGACCAAATGACTCTATTTCTGTAGCTTAATGTATGCAAAAGTCAATGTAAGTGATACCAGATGGTTTCTTCTTGTTTTACCACGTCTGTCCTGAAAGACTTAACCAGAAATTTGAATCCAAATTATGAACAGACGGTTGAGAACACATTTTACTTGTAGCACTGTAAGGATTTCCAAACTATCATGGCAGAGCATCACAACCAGCTTCGAATGTTTTGACTTGAAGGTAGAAGCAGTGTCTTCCAGAACACCAAGGCAGGATATTTCAGACAAAGTTTTGTTTCCCTTAAACCCACCCAACCAAACATGCACACACACAAACCAGCTGAGCAACTAAATGGAGGAAAGCAACACTGGCCAGTCTGTAAAAAGCGTCATCTCAGGCTTTTTATTTGAGGAATCGCTGGATAAGGCTCAGTGAAGAGAGTTTAGTTGGAAATAATTGCTACTCTTGAGGGGCAGAATCTAATTAAAGAGGCACTGCATGGGTGAGAGCATACTAGTGACTAACTCTCTTCCTGCTCTCCACTCCTGCAGACAGCACCGAGGTGGAGTGCAGCCCAAGCTCTGAATCCACAGATCAGAGGAAGCTCATGGAGGAGCTGCAGAACCGCTACCGGCAGATGGAAGAGCGTATCACCTGCCCTATTTGCATCGATGACCAAATCAAACTGGTCTTCCAGTGCGGACATGGCTCTTGCCCAGACTGCAGCACAGCTCTTACTGTCTGCCCCATTTGCCGGCAGGCTATCCGGGAGAGGATTCAGATCTTTGTCTAAGGATATGCTTGCCTCCCTTCCTGTTCCCACCTCCCTCCTTTACTTCCTTTTTGTTTGCATTTTAGATGAGAAGTGCTAGTCAGGCTGATGTGTTTGGCTACGTGCAAAGCCATCCTGAAAGAGAGGGAAGCAAATAACTGCTGTGACTTGGGTGGAGGTGGAGGGAGTCTCCTCTACCTCCCACATCCTAATGCCAAGGAGCGGTGCTTGACAGCAGGCAGCCCCCTCACCCTGTGCTGCTGATCCACCAGAAAGACCCAAAGTGAAGAACACTGACCTGTCTACTGAAGGCGTAAGCGACTTTCAGACCAGAGGCGAATAGGTTTCCCCGTGCAGATGTTTTCAGCAGCATCTGACTCCGGTGACTGCATGGTGTCAGATTTGCAGCCTTGCGCTGCTCTGAAAGGAGATGCTGTAGGAGGATATACCTTCTACCTTGGCAGGCAGTGGCAAAGCTTACGCTTGCGCTTCACATGAGGAGATATCAGAGGAGATGAAGCCTGGTGTCAGTGCTCACAGATGCCTGTCAGTGGTAGGGAGGTAATGTCCTAAGACAGCAGGCTCTCGACTCGTACTTACGGGCTCAGCAAGAACTTGGACTGACAGAGGCAAATCCGGATGTGATGGGATCCTAAAGACAGAGTGTGTGCCTTAGAGATAAAGTAGTAAACACTGATTGGAGAAAATATGTTGTTACAACAAATGTTTCTAACCTCTAAGTGACACTCTTCTTCCATATTTTTTTTGGCACAACCATGTGTTCAGAGACTCCTGAGCTTTCTATCCATAATGCCAAAGGCAGGTGTTAAATAATCCAGTCAAAGTGTAAAGAAAATAAATAGTAATAATTAAGACATGAGAAAAAGGGATTTCATTTTTGTTTCTTTGTTTTGCAGCAAAACTTAATAAAATAAAATATATATTTTCCTGACCATTAAAATGAATGTACAAACAGTAGCTGAGATATGGATCTGGCTGTGTTATGTTTTCCAGCTGTCTGAGTGAAGAAATATTATCCAGAGTCCATCCTGTAAAGTAAATGTTGGTGGAAGTGGCGACCTATAGGGCTAATGTGCCATGCGTGTGTGTGTGTGTGTGTGTGTATACATACATGTTTGTGTGTGTGGTATATATCTTTAATGACACAATTATACACAAGCATACTGTTTGTTGCATATTGCAAGCAATATTTAAAACAAACAAATATATTGTGTTCCTCTTATATTTGTTCATTAGCAAAGAGGTGGAAAATCTTCTAAGGAATTTTTTAGCTTTGTGCAATATATGGTAGTCACAGGAATACTTACTACTACTTCATAATCCCTTGGTGTTGTGAGAAAGTTTTATGTCATGACCTCTGACTGTTATAGATAATCTTTATCAAAATATTCACTTGAGGCTGTTACAGTTTCAGTGGGGTTTTTTGAGCTATGAAGATGGATCAGGTTTAAATTACTTGGTTGGGTTAGATTTAACACCCAAGTAACCTAAAGCTGAATTTCAGAATCGGCTTTAGTGAAAATCAGATACTCACTTATTTCCTAGAAGTTCACAATAGTGCAAAATCCTTTGGAATAAACTAGACATTTCCCCAGAATGCTTGCTGTATTGTGGTCGGGCAGCAATAGAAAGTGCTTTACTGTGCAAAGGTTATTTTGAAAAAGTACAAGACTGAACCATCTTTATAATGTAAGAGCTGCTTTAACCACTATTTGTTGCAAGTCACTAATTTTCCAGACTATCTATTACCCTAGCCCCATTCTAAGTGTTTTGGTTTTTTTTTTTTTTTAATATAGTTCTTTCACAAGCCTCTATATCGAATCCAAAAGCAGTTTAACAAAGGTAAAACTGATCAATACTTCATGATGTGTGTTAAATGTCTATGTGTGCTGGCACTTGGAGAGGAGGGGATGGAGGTGGCACACTTTTCAGTATCTGTTGTGTTATTCTCATCTTTTATGCCTAAGGTGTCAGTTTATTCAGCAAAAAACAAGAGGGAGCATCTGCTTCATATTTTTAATAATTTCTTTGGATACTAAATGAAGAGAGGCTTCCAAGTGATCATTTTCCCTAAAGGAAAAAAATGTAGGAAAACTGCAGCCTTTGACTTCCAAGCTGTGCAGCTGTTGCAGAAAATGGAGATTTTAATTTTTTTTTTTTTCTTTTTTTCTGGCTAATGAAAAGAGATTTTGTGGGGAAAGAGGAGCTCCCCTCAATTGTGTTTTAATTTTTAAAAATGCAAGTTCCATTTCAAGATCTCCTGATCTTATTTTAATATCTGAAAGTCCTTATATGGCCATATTAGGGATGGAATTTTGCACAGCATAATATACCTACTTAAGAACTACAGAAACAGTTCGTGAACACAGCGTTCAGGTTGGGAGTATATTCTTTCATTTCCCTGTTCCTGCGGTGATTGCTTTTGAGGGGCAAGAGTTGAACTGTTAAGCACCATTTTGACTCTTTCATTTTCATAGTAAGAAGAAGGGAATTGCACCACAACAGAGAAGAAAGAGGATGGTCAGTGGAGCCGCAGGAGCGGGAGACGGGAGAAGGCAAGCAGATGCCCATATGTGCCAGGTATGTTTTTGGCAATATTTGCCCCCCGTGACAGGTTCAGCTCTGTGGGAGTCTGAGGCTTTGGAGAAGTGAAGAAGGTTCTGCTGTTTTATCTTTCTTGATAAGCCAGTTTACATGGAGGGGCCAGGATCAGAGAGCTGCTTGTGGCCGACTGAGTGCCATGCTGGGTGAAATGGTTAGCTTTGCGTACTTGCTAGTTCATCTAGTTCATGTGTAATCTGGCCTGTACTCTGAGCCAGCAAAAGAGTTTCTCTGCTCCAATCCAGGCTTGAATCTGAAGTATGAAAAGGAAAAGGTATCTGTAGTAAGCAGGAAAAGAGCCAAGGGCCTGGACTGAGGTCAGGAGCTGTATTAAATTTAGCTAGAGATTATGAGAGAGGAAAGGAAGAGGAAAGGTGGGGAAAGATGTTTCTCCCCTTTCTCTTTTTGCTACCAGTTCTTGCTGGTTATAGGAACAGCAAGGAGCTGAAGAGAGGCAGGGAGATGAGAGCAGTAGGTAAATGCTCCTTTAAAGATAAAATACAAACATTGTCATTAGTTAATCAGCGTGGATAGTGAGTAACATTCTGCTTGATGTTCGTTACCAGTTGGTCTCCCACAAATGAGACCGACAAGTCTTCTGCCAATGCTGGGGAGCTCCTTGTTTTCTCTGGGGCTTCTGCCATCTCCTGAAATGCAGCTCTGTACCATGCAACAGTGATTTCAAAAGGGAGAGGTCTTTCTGAGTCTTTCTGGTGTAAAAGCTAAATATAAGACAGCAGCTCATATTGTACTCGGAACCAGGGTTTCTAAAGCACTTCCTTTGGAAGTATGGCCAAAACTCCACATTTTACAGACAGCGTGAGACTGAGGGAGTAGAGAGAGGGAGTTTGCTTATTGAAAGGCAGAGTCGGGAAAAGAATCCATCTCTCCTTTGATTATGTTCCCACTACTCCATGATGCTCCCATGGCTTCAGGAGGATTGGTCCATCCACAAATGGATTACAGATTATTAATACAGCCCACCAAAGAGCAACAACAACAAAAATATCCCCACCCAGGGAAGCAATTCTTACTCTGTTATGGACACATTTTATTATCTGTGTATCGAGAAAAATTTCTCCTTCATTTTGGTCCTGCAGTTGTACTCGCTACGTGGCCATGACAGGACTGCTGAGCTTCTGACTAGGGTCAAGACCATGTCTCTTTGTACTGGCCTGACCTTGTGTTACCAGGCACTTCTGTGAGCTGCAGCTCCAAACTGACAGTTAAGCAAAATATTCCGTTTTCTTTGCCAGCTGGAGCAAGCCCTTGTTTTCAGCTCATTTGCTATTCAGCAGACCATGGATTTTTCTAGGAACATCATCAGACGCTGATCACAAGGGGCTGCATGATAAAAAGTGGGAAAATGCTTGGGGACTAAAGAAGGTTCTTATTCTCCTGTTCCTTGGGGAATATTACTCCCTGCTACAGCAGATACAATCCTTCTTAATCCATGACCCACCGAAAAAGTACAAATTTTAACTGCTGTTCCCACAGGAACCATGCAAGAATGTTGGGTTGGTTTTTTTCCCCCCAAGTTGTTAGATGAAGGGATAAATACGTAAGTGCTTTTTAAAATAAGAGCTATATGAGGCTTTGTTAATTCTTTTCACATGGGCCACCAAGGAGCCAATATGTGGTAAATCACATTCAGCTGTGTGCACTCCCCCTCCCATGCTTGTGGCCTGGATTTGGACTGGTGCCCTAGAGATGAAACACTGATGCTTATGCCTTGAGCCATCAGACATGATCAGATGTTGGGTCCTTCGTCTTTCCCTGTCTTCCCCACCTCCACGTAGAACTCCCAGTTCCCAACGGGGGAAGCTAACGGGAGCAGTTCGTTCCAATGCTGTATAATAGGCACTTAATCCATGAATCAATAAAAGATTTCAAGAGAGGTGAGATTTGTTTTGGATAGTCAGACAGCTGCAGTTCTAAAACTAATGGTTGTTCTCTGTGTAGCACCTCTTAGCATGAGTATGGAGGCAACCATTTAGAAATAGTGCTGAAAGTAACATTTAATGTTAAAAATGCAGAATAAAGGGGAGGAGAGAAATGTTAAGAATAATCCAGAGAAGTGAGAAAGTATTTATTTTTGAGCTAAAACTTGCCCTTGGGAATGTAGTCATATATTGTGTGCTATACGGCAGCCCCGCTGTAGACATGTCAGCAATTAAGATTGAAAAGAACAAAGCAAGACTGAGGCAATTTAACAAGGAAAGTTTATTGTGTTGTGCAAATGATCCGATCCTTTATGTTCTCCATAGTCTCTAGTTGACCATTGCAGGCTTTATGCAACATTATGCAACATTCATTCCCTTCTGACTGCTGTTTAGAGCCTGCTTTTTCATGTGACGTTTATTGCATGCAGAGATCTCAGGATATGCATCCCTGGCTGTTTGCTTAGAAAATCCCAGCTCCCTGCGAATGGTATCCAGGTCCTGGTCACTGCTGCTAACAGCATGAAGACAAAGCAGTCAGTTTTGTACCCTGCCTTCCTTTCCTATTCCCCATTACACCATATGGATTCCCTCAAAGTGTAATGTGTTCCATTGCTTTTAGACATTGTGCAGAAACCAAAGCCAAGAATGTTTTTCTATCCAAATATAGTCAGGATGACAGTTCTCGCCCGTAGTCCAAACCAAATATCTGCACTTGAGAACCTGAGACCTCTAAAATTCATCAGAACTCTGAAGTCACAGCAGCAGTTCTCTGCACTCGTATAAAAGCAGTCCTTTCGGGGGCTTAGGCTGCCTGATAAAGCATGGAGAATATTTTAATCTGCTGGAAAAGACAGAGCTTAAAACTTTAGAGTTCTGAGTAACTTCTTGCTGTTGGCACAGGGCAACACTGGCTTCCAGAATGGAGTCTGGGGAGTTGTCTGAAGCATCTGAAAGAGGCTTAAATTCTGACAAGTGCTGTAGATTTGAGGCCACTAATGGCTGCATCTGAGAGTCCTTTAAGCACAATTATCTCTTGGGAAAGCCATGATATTCTTAACTCAGGGCAGAGAACAGGGATGAAATGTCAACAGATGTGCACTCTGGTCCTAATAATCCTTAAAATATCTATAGAAGAGAGCTGTGCTTGAAATTTAACAACCACAGTAGTAAGGAGCAAAGTACAAACCTGAGATTTTGCTTTTTACCAGCAGCGACACTGAGGATTCTGGCCAGAGCTCGTGCACTGAAGAATCCAGATGCACTGTGACTTTATCAGAAGCATTGTTAATGTGCGCAGCCTTAAGTTCCTGTGTCTCCTTTAGCTCCAGGAGCTGCATCTGTAAGTTCTGAATACCTCAGCAGAAGAGCTTTCCTCATCTGACTCTCTCATTGCAATAATAACTGAGGTTTGTCTTGGCTTTATGGCTGAGCTGGTTTCTGAGCAATTATTTGGCTTAAATTTAAAAGTTCTGAAAGCATTCTGCAGCCAGTGGTTTGGTAGAGTTGGATGCACAAGCACTGAATTTCGATGTGGATGGGTACAGTGCCTTCCCAGCATATGGGGGGCGAGGGAACTATGTGCTTTCCAAGAAACCCTGCTCTCTCACTTCCGATCCAGCAAGGTATCTATAACCTGCTTGCTACCGTGACAGGGAAGCAGGATCCTAAAGGATCCTAAACGTCACAGAGGTCATGAATCATTTCTGCAGCTAAAGATTCCCATTCACCCACCACACATGGTACAAGAAGATAAATGGCTAATGTACAGTATGGTCCCTTTCCCCATTCAGAATACTTCAGTAACTCATGGAAAAAGCCTTGGCTGTGCTAACCTTTAGTCACTGCATGAATAAGTATTCAGAAACAATGAGGTCCTTAGAAATGTGCTTTTACTGAAGTTCTAGATACTAACTTTTGCAGGGGGGTGTCTGAGCCAAGATGTATTTTACACTTTCTTTACATTGGGACAAAGGCAATTCTTAGTTCCCTCAGGCGATGTGGTTGTGTGAGTTCTCAATCTATGCTTTAATACTCGGGTTCATGTAGTCATCTTCAGAAACAATAAGGCACTGACTGGGTTCTTGGAACATTACAGGTTCCTGCTCTGCAAGATTCCATGCTTGACCTCAGGCAAGTCTTTCCTCCTGCACAGTACCTGTAAGGTGCAGACAATAGTACCACCTTACCTTCAAGACTGATGTGAGATTAAGTGCTCTGGGAGTCTGTGAGATGTTCAGATACTCTGACAAGAGGTGAAGGCATATGTAACTGGGTGTGAGTTAAAATCTTTTTCAAACACGGCTGACTTACTAGCGATATGAGAAGAGGATGCACTACGTGTTGTTACACAGTTCCACGACTGAAACTCAGTGTTCTTCCAGCACTGTGTGTGTTAGCAGTATTTTTCTTTCAAGCCAGTATTGCTTTACTGGTGAAGAGCTCTTGGCTGAAGTTTTTGAGCCCCCTTCCAAGGTGGGTTTTTACTTCAAGACTCGCTTCTTGACCAGTCTTTCTGCAGATGTGTCCTCGTCTACAGACTGACAGAAACTTGTTCAGGGGACTGGAGACACTGGTAAGTTTAGGAGTGTGTTACTACCAGTTTCTCGCTTCATGCTGTGGTCTACAGCTTAAACCACAAATGGAGGGGCATTTGTACCACTCTTCAGAGCTCCGAACTTTTTCGGAGTGCTCACGTATGGGTGTATTGCATACTACAAGCTGTGCTCCTGTGGAAGAGGTGTAACTCTCTCTAGAAAGTTGCAGTTAAGAGCTGAGATCTGCCTGTATCTCAGACTGATGCAGTTGACTGCTTTGGTCCACAGGAGTTACAGCTCTGCACCCTTGCTTTCTGCTCTTTCTCTTCCTCCTAGTTCCAGCTTTCCTTTGTAATTCTATCCATAACTTTCTTCCACAGTACTCCTTATTCTATCTTTCTCCTGGTACCTGAACAACTGCTGCATTTTGTCCACTCTCAGCAGAAAGCATGCTTTTCCTCCAGGGTGGAGTTTGGTGAAAATTGAAAAAGAAAATTTTCAGGAAATTGTACACAGACTCATTGGTGATATTTATCCCGAGTTGCTTAAAAACTCCAGGCCAGTTTTAACTGGAAAATATATGCAGCTTATAAAACATTGCAAACTTGATCATGCACTAGGGAAAAGAAGTTCAGATGAAACCATTTTCATTACTAAAAGTGCAAGAAGTTTCTGAAACCTTTCAAATGCTTTGGATATCTCTTAGGAATGTTCTATACTGTCTGGCAACAGAACTACCCCCTCCTTGCCACTTGCTTGTGAAACCAGGAGATTGCACAGTTCCTTTTCCTCTGTCTGGTCAGAATGGTTTAGCTAAGGACAGCCCACCTCAGGAGCACTGAGAAGCCAGCACTTGGTGACCAGACTGAAAAGTGCAGCTATTTCTGAAAACCTGAGAATTTCTGACTAAGCTTTTAAAAAGTCCTGAGTTGACTTCATGCCTGCAGCTTGGAGGTGCCTTAGAACCCAACAGCTTAAGGCAAACTGACCACTTCTCAAAGTCAGTCTTTCTGATGCGCTCAAGCTGAGGTACCCAAAAGCAGTATAATTCTGAAAATACTTGACTTTGTCAGCATGACCACCCCTTACTAGGTAGCTCCCAAGCACACAGGAGGTTTGCAGGTCACTTGCCAAGTTTCATGGAAGAGGGAGTTGATGTTTACTTTTATCTGAGTTTGTAAACTCCCTAACCAGAATTTCCAAAGCAGAGAAGCCCTGCCTGCTCTCTCACAGCATCTCATTTTTAATTCTGCTCCTGAAGACAGCCCTTGACAAATGACAGCTCTTCTAGCATTAAGCATCTCTAATGAAACATTCCAAGGGCGTGATACTGGCTTCTGGATTCCTTTTTCTGCCCCCTCCCCCAATTTTTTCATTACATAAAGCTGACAACTGCAGATTTGTCCTCTGATTATACAGTCAGTTAAAGAAAAGAGTTCATGTCCATCCCAGCTTGTTTCACTGCTGCTTTTCCTCCGCCAGCCCAACTTTCAGCTGCAGTAATATGATACCACTTGGCAGAGGCTAAGAGAATCTTTGGCACACTGGAAGGAGGCTCAATGTAAAGTCTACATTTTTTTTATTTTTTTAGAGCTTTTTGAAACTCTAGTGTTTCTGCACAGCTTTAGCAGTAACTGCAGAGCTACTCACAAATGCTCCAAATGCAACTGTGAGCAAAAGGATTACCAATGCATTCTGTGAAGAGAATGTCTTAGTGTCTGTTGCATCTCCCTTGAAAAAGTATTAAAGAACGACATGGATCAAGTAGAACTTTCTGCAAACGAAAGGAAGGGCTTCCTCCCAATTGTCAAGAAAAAGAGCAATGGCTGTAGAACCATTGTGGGATTTTTATGCATATTCCCTGTGGTGGCTTTGCTGGCTATTGTGGGAGATCCAGCTGGAGCTGCAGTTCAGAAAAGCCAGGTAGGAGAAAAGATCTAATTCTCAGATGCTTGAAACGGGAGTGGGGATATCAAATACATGTGCATGTTCATTCTTTGTAGAAGATGGATATATTCAGGAAGCAATCTAAACAATATATAAATAATTGTTAGCCAACAAGATCCGTTTATGGCTGAGTTCCTTTTTGCAAAGGATCCTAAAAGGTAATTATGCATCCAAGTATTAGAGATGTGTATGCAGCTTGCAGACAGCCAAACGGTGAATGCATAAAAGATTTGGGTTGTTTTCCCTCAGAGCTTTGGCTATTCTTCTGTGTACCTCTGCTTTCCCAGCCCAGTATGATGTGGCATGCATATATTCTGATTTCTGTAGCAGCTGAGCTTTCATAGGAACTCCGGAGGCAGGGCTCATGGGGAAAGATCCAAACTTGGAGTTAATGCTGGATCTACAGAAACTCTTAGCGGATAATAGCTCTCTTTCAAGGTCCATCCATTAGCAAGATATGCTGGGACAGACTGGTGTTCAGGGGGAACTGTAGCAAAGCTTTGGGACTTTCAGAAGCTCTATTTTAATTTTTTGCTTTTAGCTTAATTTTAGCTTTTAATTTTATGAAAAAACAATCTCCAAGTGCTCGCATCCTTTTCTATTGTTTGTGTTTATGAAAATCCTGGCAGTAGCACCCCTTGTTTGCATCACATGCTCAGGGCTCTTTTTAATTGGTTTTGAGTCAGAGTTATGCTACTGTTTAGTTTGAGAAGGAAACTGCATGACTAGGAGAGAGAGAGGGAGGGGAATGAATTACATCCATTACAACTCAATTAAGTAAATTAACGGAGGTTTGACTGCACAGGGTGAATAATGTAGAGCAGGGATGTTGGCCAGTGTCTGCCTTTATCTTTACATATGTTGGTGTCTATTGCAGTTGAGAGAGGGAACTGGAACACATGTCCTTCTAGTACCTCACAGGCTTTTTTTTGTGTTTCAGACCTTAACCCACAGTTGAATGTGTTTCCTTTGGGGAGTGGCTGACCTCTTCTCCAGTTTGGAGTATTCCCATAGTCTTGGTTCTTTGGCATCCAGACAGATCCTTTGATGCAAATCATACTGTGAAATTTTTAAACAAGTCATTCCATTTCTGTCAGAATCCTACATCTGAGCCATAGCATATGTGTGGTACCCCACTCTTCTGCAATTCATTTTGCAACACAATCTTAATGAAAAGCATCCTGTTGTACCAGTGGTAGGTAGAACAAATGCTAGAGCAGAACAGAGACTGAGCAGAATGTTTGAGCAAGAGAAACCCCCACACCTCTTTTGATCTAGTGACTGGGTGAGATACAGGTTTCAGTGATTGCTGTTGGGCCTGAGTCACCCTTACTTTGTTTTGTATTTTGATGATAAGCTCGCTAGGGACACAGATTTTTATTCCCCTCCTTGTTGAGCACTTACAGCCTTAGGGTTTTAAGTTCTATGGCTGTAGAAAAGACAATAATTTTTCTCCCTTGGGCCTGCAGTGTTCCTTGTAGAAGGAGAAGCCAGAAGGCTGTTTCTGACTATCTAATTTTCCTTTGCTGATACCCAGGGGCTTTAAGAGCAGCCTCAGAATTTTACCCTGTGCTGGTGTAATTCAGTAGCCCAGTAGCAGAGGAGGCAGAATGGGCAGTGTCCACTCCTCGGCCTCTGCAGCTTAACACACTGAGCTGTATCGTAAACCGGACGTGGCACCAGTTGGGCTGTGAGTTAGAGAGGCTGGAAAGCAAATGCATTGCATGTTCTGCTCTGCTAAGGGGCAGGAGCATCTATCACAAGGAGAGGCAGCTACTGAAGAGTGTTAATACCTTACCTCATCCCATCGTAAGTTGTCAGAGCCTGTAGAGTGACTGAGAATTCACAGTACTTGCAATCCTGGGCTATTCTTGACTCATGCCAGAATGAAAGTGCAATCAGCCCCAATAGTGGCAAGGGATTGTAGAGAAAACACCAAAGGCAGAAGGGGTTTGCCTAATTCTACCTTACTTGAAAGAGCTGCAAAAGAAGGGAAAGTATCTTACTATCCTGTAACTATGAGCTAATCTTCTCCAGGCTTTTCTTACAGCTCCAACAGATCATTGATACGCAGTCTAGCTGATCTTCCACCTTGTCTGTGCTGCTCAAAAGGATGCAAATGTTTCCTTTCATGTCAAGGAAAAATGGCATTCTCAGAGTAGAATCAGAGGTAAAAGCCACTGGAGGTAAAGGGAGAGGGACAACAGCCAGCGTACTTGCATCACACACGTCTTGGTGAAAAGGGGGCTGCGCCTTGAGCTGGGCAAACCAAGAAATATGGGGGTCTCAGCCAGATCCCTTAACACAGGAAACAAAGTGACAAAGCTTAAAAGGGAAAAGTGATCCTGTGTGCTCTTTCTAGAGCAAATCGGCATCTGAAGGCTCCCAGAAATGTGATCAAATACCCTGTCAAAAGCTTGCAGCTTAGTAGGCAAGAGGAAATAGCCTCAAGTTGCGCCAGGGGAGGTTTAGATTGGATATTAGGAAAAATTCCTTCACCAAGAGGCTTGTGAAGCATTGGAACAGGCTGCCCAGGGAAGTGGTTGAGTCACCTTGGAGATATTTAAAAGACATGTGGATGTGGCACTTAAGGACATGGTTTAGCGGTGGACTTGGCAGTGGTAGGTTAACGGCTGGACTTGATGATCTTAAAGGTCTTTACCTAACTGATTCTATGATTCTATCTCTCTGTCTCATAGGTGATGTTCTATGGCCCTCGCATTCCTTACATTCAAAGACTCTGCTGATTTCAAATTGTGAGTCAGACCCACAACTGAGCTGGAAGAAAGACTGTCCTTCCAGGAAAGAAAGATACTGATGAGAACAAGATAGAAGCTAGTATGGCGCTCAGACATGAGCAAAAGAGCCTGGGTTTCCTGTTAGGACAGAGTCCCTCAGCCTGTTACCAGCCATGACTAGCTGTAGTCATGCAGAGGTGCTGGTGATTTGGGCGGTAGCTGGCAGCTGCTGCTTTGGGCTTCTTGGCTTTTCATGCCCTTGGCTTGCTGTGGGACCAGGGATATGCTATTTTGACTCTCAGAGCCTCAGCTCTTCCATGAGTAAAATGAAGACAGCTCTTGCTTTCTGTGGAATGTTCGGTGAGGCTGAACAAACGCGTACTGGTGCAGCTTTTGTAACACTGCCACTATGCGCATCACTTAGTAAGTGTCTTGGTGCCTCTGGATGATATTTTAGTCTGAAAAGGGGAGGCAGAGTGGGTAGACTTCCAGAGAACCGTGTTGGGTCCCATTCTTCTCCCTCCACTACTCGGGACTAAGAGGCTTTTATAGTTTGAGTCAGACCTGTCACAAAATTTGATGTCTTACTGTATGATGGCTTTAAGTGCACTCCAGGGTTTCCAGGGTTCCTATTTACTTTGAAGGCATGTCAGCTCCACAGTGCAGCTTTATAAAGAGCTCTTTGCACAAAGGGTTGTCTGTTTTACTCATTTGTCCAATATTTCATTTCTTATGTGGTGAGGCTGGAGAGCAATAGCAAAGTGAGAAGGAAATGAAAACTTTCCAGGAAGAGCTGCAGCTCTCAGTGTGGCCAGAAGCCGACTGAGGCCTCATTTCTGCTCCATCTGTGCTGCACTCCGAGGAGAGTGGAGCAGCTCCAGTGCCCTATTCTGGAATTACACAACAGCTCAAGGGAGCCTGCAGCACTGATCCTCTGGGACCCAGTGTTGAGGAGTGCTGCTCCCTTCCTTCCCTTGCTTGTCTGATCTCAGACATGCCCCAAGAACTCCATAGCCCCTCTTTTGCACTCTCAGCTTTGTTCAGCAGGCTCAGAACAGCCATAGTTTGCAAAGTGCTGACCAGCTGATGTGCTGGGTCTGGCTCCTGGGCACCCATGAGGGAGTAGCAGTTGTGCTCCCCAGCCTCCAAATGCCCCACACCTGGTAGTTTCTCTTTTACCCTGTTCACTCCTGCAGTCTCTCCCATCTCTTTCAACCTCCTGTTTTGTCTTTTAAGGAAGATGCCGCATCACCTGGTCTTCATGGAGAGAGTGCCCCTGCTTTGCACAGTCCAGCTTTCCCACCTCGGCCTCCAGCACGGAGAAAACGATACACGATCACACCAGGGCATTTGAAGTGGGACCACTTCAACTTGACATACAAGTACGGACTTGCATTAGCCCTAAGAGTTAGTATTTTTTAAGTGACACTGGGGTCTGAGTTTTTCCTGGCATGGGTATAAGATACTAACCATGTGCAGATTGCTAATTCGTTTGCTAGCGAACAGACAGTGGCTAAAACCACTCTAAAGTAGGAAGTATTTCTACAAATAGTTCACCTCAGCTGTGGATCCCTGCGAAGCATCATCGCTGCATTAGGAGCTGGTAGCACATATGCCTGCGTGCTGAGGCTAATTACCATAAAACTAACCTTTCAGGAGCAGATTCAGGTTTCAAACAGATAAGCTTCCCAGAACTAGGGACTTCCTTCAGAAGATAGCGAATTGAATACTAACTCTGTCATGCTGGTATTTTTAAGAGTTCTGTATGAACCTAAATCATCACTGAAGGAAATTGCTGTTGAAAGGTTCTGTGATTTCAGAAGGACAGAGCTCTGTTAGTGCTGAGTGCTTTTAGCAATCTCTTCCTCCCTGTTGTCTTTGGGATAGGATGCCAACTCCTAGATTACTAACAAATAAACAATAAAAGCCCTTGGAAATTCTAGGGTGAGTGAATGTTAGCCCTAATATTTTCAGATGTTTCTGCCAAGGAAAAGTGGCTGTCCAGATTACTGATTATTAGTTGGGGTTTGTCCCTGCTCAGAACCAGCAGCATTTCAGCAGTACCGTACAGCCATAGAGTGATTTGGTTTTGGTATGATGGAGCTGTGTAAACGTTCAATGCTAGTACTACTTTCAACAAGCAGGCTGTTCAGAGCCAAAGTTGATAGAGTCCTACGGATTTTCACACTCAATTGTTTCTCACTGCTGCCTGTTCTTACTGCTACTGCTGGCATAAGGCAATGTCAGTCCTTTTTGGTGTTTAGCCCTGGAGCAGCTCCCTTCCTTACTTCAGCAGGGGCTGAACAGCCCCTGAAACTGTCTGGTGTGCTGGGCTGTGGTGGCAGCATCCTGAGAAGATGCGTTTTCTTTCTGGGAAAATATTAATGGCATTGAATGTTTTTCAGGAGAGGTAACATGAGTTCAGACAGAACAAGGTTCAGGGAACCCCCATGGAAACAGTTTCATGAGTACTGGCAGGTAGAATCAGACTGTCATGGGAAACCTCAGACTAGCAGGAGTACTGGAGGTTTGACTGAAGAGAGTCCCGTTGTTCACCCCAGGTTGAGAATCTGCACCTTCCTGGAGACACGGGAGCCAAACCAGGTTTTTTCAATGTCTTATGTGATAACAGAGGTCCTTTTAATGTGGTTGTTAACTCCAGCCACTCCTGACTGTAAAGTCCAGAGCAAGCCCCAAGCCTGACCTCTCAAGAGCTGCAATCACAGACTGTTAAACTGCAATGCCTTGAATGGCAGGTCACGCTGGATTTCTGAAAACTCTTGAAAGTGGCCTCCAGCAGCAGCAGTGAGTGGTGCAGCTTTTTCTTGGCTTTGGTCTGAGGGCATCATTGTGGAGCTGAGGGTCTCCCTCACACTCCAGCTCTGGAAGACTGACCAGACTTTGACTGTAATGGGTGGGACATTGTTCTGTCACCACCAAACAGGAAAGGAAAGCAGTCTGAGCTGGGAGGCAGTGGGTTTGCCTGAGGTAAGGAGTGAGGAGGGCAGGCGGGGTGGCAGGACAGCAGCAGTTCCGTCTGTCTGAGAGCTTCTCCACAGAAGCAGGAGGGGGAGCGTTTCAAAGTCACCAAACGCAGGTCGGGAAGATAATTTGCAAGGTGTGGCTGATGCTGCAGCTACCTCTGTTCTCTAGGTAGCTGTTACACCGCCAGTTACACAGAAGTCTGGTTGTAACCATCACTGCCCTTGCGTGCTCGGCGTGCGGTGGGCTGGCTGCGGTGCTCTGTGGGTGATGCTGCCCGGCTGGGCGCCGCGTGCCGGCTTCCCGGTGGACAGCAGGGCTTAGTTCTGCCGTAAGACATGGAACGAGTGGGTGGCATGAACCTGACTCCTTCACACGGAGCAGAGAGCATACCTCCCTTAACTCTCATCCCAAACAGGCTAAGCCTCATGATAGTCTTAATTGTCCAGGTTTACACTCGTTAACAGCCTGGCTTGATACGAAACCTTCTGCTCCCTTTAGGATGTGCTGGGACGAAGGGAGAACATAAACAGCATAGCTAAAAAACAACCAGAGGGGATAGCAGAATATACACAACTTTTCCCAATTGCTACACTTCAGGCAATTTCCTGATTGCAGATCTTCTTTTGGGACAAGGTAAGTTTCTAGGAGCCATCTGTACATTTCCATGGTACAGACAGGGGTTCTGCCATCCCGCACCAGTAGTTTTCTTACAGTTCAGCTCTGTCTATACCTGTGGCCTAAGCAAAAAACCTCTCTCAAGTCTCTCTCCCAAGTGATAAGATTTTTTCAAAGGAAATAACTTGGTTTACTATCAAACCTTTGCTGATATTCTTTGGAACCCTCTTTCAAAAGTATTATAATTCAGTGTCTGCACATACAGTGTAACCTGAGTGTTATGGAGTTCCTGGTGCTGAAATGCAGCTGTTTCCTCTTCCAGCAACACTGCACAACAGACTGGGAGATGTTAGGATAAAAACAGTTTTCCAAGAGTAACTTGTCTAAAATTAGGTTCTTGAGGAGGGACAAAAGCTGTAGTCCAGAACATGTGATTGTGAAGAATATCAGTAATATATTAGTCCTTGTGGACTTTTTCTGAAATATTGTTAATATCCAGTTCAAGCTACTCCTGTTTTGAACCTGTTAGAGTGAATGGATAGACACGATTGTCCGATGCACCCTTGAGAGCCTTCAGCTGATGTTTGAGAAGGGAACTTCTGAAGTTGTTCTGTGTCCCTACAGAATCCTGTCTTTCCCAAGAAACCTCATAAGTGCCAGGGACACACGCAAGGGACTAGCGGCTGCGTTCCGAATGTGGAGTGAAGTTTCACCATTCAGCTTCAGAGAAGTGCCACGCCACGTAGCTAGTGACTTGAAAATAGGTAAGACTGCACGGGCTCCTGTGCTCACAGGAGGACACTGTCATGTGTTTTAACTCCACGAGGGACTTTCAGAGTTTCAGTATGTAAACCAGGAGTTGGGAGGCAGGAGGTGGTCCTCCTCCGCTGTGTGGACTTGGCAGGGCCTCTGGGATAAGGATTGGGGCATCATTTGCCTTTAGGTCAGGTAGGGAAACTATTTTTCGTTGGTCTAAAGAAACATTAATAACATAATTAGCACTTGCTATGAATCTTGCAGTTGGGAAGCTTTAGGTATTTTACAAGAATTAACCCTCAAAATCTGCCACTGGGACAGGATTATCTCTGTTCCACAGAATATTGAAAGGTGAAACGACACATCCGAGGTCACACAGGACCAAAGAGCGGGGGATGGATTACAGCTTGTTTATGGTTTTAGTCTCCCTTTTTTTGCTCCTGTTGAAGCACCATCGTTTCTCTGTCCTTTCTCTCCTCCACTTCTGCCCCTGTATTGCTGTGCAGAAGTTACTGCCTGAGTTTCTCAGGGCCAGAAAAACGTTGGTGCTGAGGCGTTATCTGCTCAGTCTCAACCCCAGATGTAAATTCTTCTTGGGATTTATGGCCTGTGTGAAATAAATATTTCCTGTGCAGATGGCAGCAATATTGAGATAACCAGCAGATTTACTGTTGTTTCGCAACATGTTCTCCACTCTCGTGTTGCGTGAGGTTACGCAGAAGCACATGGTATGCCTTCCCAGGGGTCTGTCCTGCTGCCACATGTGAGCTCCGCGTGGCCCAGTTCCAGGGGATGCAGGGGGATGAAGGGTGCGCTGTGAAGTTACCACAGCGCTAGTGAAAAGACAGCAAGCAGCTGAGATCCTAAAGCTATCAGTTTATTTACGTTTAAAATGGAATGATGCCATCCTGGGGTTACCATCTCACTGTCCAACTTCTCCCCCCAAAAAGTCATTTCCATGTGATGTTGCAAAAAGAGCTTGGCACTCCTTTCTGAAAAGCAGACTCATTTGTGTCTGCTGGAAACAGCTCTAAATCCAGGGTCATCACAGGGCTGAGTATAGTTTGCATCATGTAGCCATCACTCCTGACAATTGCTTTGCATTTATTTTTCCTTTTGTGGCTCTGTAGATTGGAAAACACATGGGCTACCATCAGGGATTTGTTTAGTAAACCACAAATTTACAGATGTCTGTGTCCTGAATGGGCTTACCCTGCTAGATAGACTAAATCTGCTTCTCTTTTCACAGGCTTCTACTCTATCAATCACACGGACTGCCTGGAGTCTCTCATCCACCACTGCTTTGATGGAACAACAGGGGAACTTGCCCACGCCTTCTTTCCACCTAACGGGGAAATCCATTTTGATGACCATGAATATTGGATATTGGGAAATACCCGGTTCAGCTGGAAAAAAGGTAACACGTGTCTCTGGGAGCACAGAATTCATGCCTGCAGGATTTCCATTTTAGTTCTTGTTCTGGGATTTACCTAGTGTGGGCAAGAGACAACAGCAACTGTGGTGTGATTTTCTGTAGTTTTGGAAGTTGTTGGTCTTGCTGTCCTGAGACTGACCGGCTCTAAGGGACCATGTCTGGTGGCAGTGCCACTTTGTTTTGAATAGTTCAGTGGATGTACTCAATAATTCAGCCACATACTGAATATTTACAGCTGGCTTCTGCTCAGGCAGGTGCATCTCTGGGAAGGGCCATGTTCTATTACTTCATCTTGCTGGCATGGCTGTTGAAGTTTTAGTTTTCCTGGGTCTGTAGTCATTTTTGGGTTTATGGGCACCTAAAAATATCTGTGTTACTTTTAGCTTGGTGGGGTTTTTTCTTCTTGATTTTTTTTTTTTTTTTTTTTTTTTTAAGCAGTATCAAGACTAACTTTAAATGAAAAGCAGATGGTCTCTGACTAACTAGCAAATTCAGTTCATATTATGTGACCAACTCTACTTTTTTTGAAAGTAAGATACTCTGCTTTTCACCAAATAAAAAGAGAGGAAAGGAGATTTTAGGTAACATAGAGAGACTTCTATCTTTCTTGGTTTCCAAAGCACAGCAACAGGTAAGATCTAGGGACAAAGACCTAGGAGAGATGATTTTTAAAGCAAGAATGTCAGAGTGTATTAAGAAAAGAACTGGTCATATTACGTTTGTAAAATAGCTCTGAAAAGTTGCCCTTCTCCACCAAACTTCTAAAGTCTGCTAACTATATCAAATGGCATGGTTGTCAAGGATAATAAAAATCAGAGTTTGTTTGGTAACAAACCCATGCCTGGAAGTTAGAGCTATCAGGGAACAATGTCTTTTCCTAGCCTGTGTTTTTCTGCAAGCAGCTGTTGAAACAAGCATCAACACTTGCAAAACGTGATTCTTAGGGAAGTTTTACTAAGGTTATGGAATAAACCAGAGTCCTGAGCCCCAGTTCTGCCACCAAGTCTCATGGCAGTGTAACTCTGTTCTTTTACACGGAGGCAGTTGTGCGGTTGATTCACGTGCAATTCAGTCGCCTTTGTGAAAGAGAAATAACACTTCTGACTTCAGAAGGCCACTCTGAGGCTGAGATGATTAATACTTGTTCACAACGATTGCTTCTCTTTCCAAAGCTGAATTAGCCTTCTTCATTGGCCTAAGGAAGGATGGGAACAAAGTAGAATGAATTCTCTGTTCTTCTAAGTCACATCAGAGAGATTCAGCAGGTCTTTAGGAGCCCAAAAAAGTCCACCCACTCCCTAGTGGATTCCTATTTAATGTACTGATAAAATAAGCACACGTGCAAGCTATACCCCTTTCAGATGCTTTCTTTCCATAAGCAGTTGGATTTAATACAGGAATTGAAGATAGGTGTCAGTAATAACACCTCTTGTGAGTCATCCTTCCATTAAAATCTGGCTTGGCTGGAAACAGGCTTTGAGATGCTACTGAGAAACTCGAATTCAACCCCTAATCGGCTATGGGGGATGCAGGAGTCAACTGGAGGCTCTTCCAGCCTGGAATCTTCCAGCTAGCAATCTCATTCCCAAACAGTCACTTCCAGTTACAGCCCAGAGCTGTGGGAACACAGTTAGCGGGAAGCTGACAAGAGTTAGTATTGTGCAGGGCACTTGCCTTCATTTCAACCATTGCTCTTTCAGAGCAGGCTTCCCCTAGGCTGGCGTTGCTGCTCTGTGTCCTGCTGTTTGAAATTAGAAACACGCCAAAATAATTGGCTCATCTATTTGCACCCAAGCAGCTACAGAGACCATGAAACTGGGGCAACATTCGATAGGCCCGTACTGTCCTAGCGTTAAAATATTTCCCCTGGATTTACACCAGGATTAGCAAATGTATTTCACCACACAATGCCAGCTGTTTTTCTGTTTCTCTTCCAGGTGTTTGGCTCACAGATCTGGTACATGTAGCAGCTCACGAAATCGGACATGCCTTAGGACTCATGCACTCCCTGAACCCCAATGCCCTCATGCACATCAACGCCACTTTGACTGGGAAAAAGACCATCTCTCAAGATGAAGTCTGGGGAATTCACAGACTTTACGGTAAGGAAGGCAGGGCTGTGCTCTGGGCTCCTCTGTGTAAAGAATTTCTCCCAGAAGCAACAGTTGATCTTTGTGGAGCTCCCACAGCGTTAGATCCTCATCGTTGGGCAGGACAAGGTGGTAAGGCAGGGAGCAGTGGGCAGGAGGGATCTTACTCCTTTTTATGCAAAGTAAGGCTAAAAGGAGGTGTAGGAGTGCTGGAAACAAAGCTAGCTTCAAATGTGAGAGACAGGAGGCTGAAGTCTCGCAGGCTCCTGGACAGAAGTTCTGAGAAAGTGTTTCAGAGGGGTCAGTCCACTCCGGCCTCAGCCTGCTCGGGGCTGTCAGGCTCCCTGTGCTCCCAGGCCTGGCTCCTGCTGCCCCAGCCCAGGCTCCTTTGGGCCTTTTGTACTGTGGCTTCAATGAGAATAAAAGGCCAATTTTAGCCACAGAGAGCCCTGACTTGCATTTATACATTTGCAAGCATCAGGTGCACAAAGGGAAAGAAGCAGCTCATATGCAAAGGAAGGGGGAAGGCAAACAGCTGTTAATTATGCTTTTGGCTGGACTCAGGTGTATTAGTACAAGATGACAAAGCCCTCTGCAAACCAAGGGGACTGTGGCAAGATTCTCTCAAGCTCTGACACATTTGCCTGCTACTCTTCAAACGTTACCCAGGGTAGGACTTAGAAATAGCACCTCTCTTGTGTTGCTAATGTTACTGCATGAAAGTAGCTCAGTATCTAACCCACTGCTCATATATTAATGGCACCCTGCTTCATGTATTGTACTCCTGGTTTAGATTCTTTCCTGTTCCAGCTCTACCATTTACACTGAACAATCTGATTTAAGTGAAGTTTTCCTGTTCCAGCTCTACCATTTACACTGAACAACCTGATTTAGGTGAAATGTCACTTTGTTTCTCAGAAGGAACAGCCTACCTGCATCCCCCTAATGCCTTGTCTCCTTCTCTTTCAGGATGCAAAGACAGATTATTTATGTGTCCAACCTGGGCACAAAAAGGTTTTTGTGAGAAACGCAGGAAGTTGATGAAAAAGCACTGTCCCTCGACCTGTGACTTCTGCTACGGTATCTGACTCTTCTTCTGGGATTCTTGGTGGGGTTTGCACAGAGGGAAGCAGTAAAAATGAAGCAGTGTTTGCTGCAGGGGTAGGCAGGATCTTAATTCCATGCCTAGAGATCAGAGGGTGCCAGACTCACCCCATCCAGCTCCAAGGAGGTGCAGGGCAGAGATGGCCTCTTCTGTATTTGAGCCAAGATCAAGGTTTGGGCTTAGGAACAGCTTTTCTGTTTCTACATTTGCGGACTAGAACATTAAACTGTCCCATTCCTCTCTAGTTAACTGAACCAAGGGTAGGGAGTTTCTGAAAACTGCTGTGCCTCCCTCAGGCTGCTTCCCTTTTCGACCCAGCTGAGGAAGGGAGGTGCTGATGTGTTAAATTCAGAGGTAAGAGATGCAGCACAGTTCTTGATGCAGTGATGGGACAGAAACAAAACTAATGACACCTCGAGCACAGCTGGCCTAGAGCTGCTCTGCAGAAAAGAAGATAAAGTATGTTAATCACCTTATCTGGTCTCAGTTTTATGAATCCAGGTAAGAGACTAAGGCCAGGATCAGGTCAAGTTACTGCAGCTGTGGAATGATGCTTCAGCTAAATATCTACTGATCCTAAGAAGATGTACTGTATAATGAGTACCTCTTTCTCCAGTACAGAGGTATATTTTTAGATGACATTAATGCAAAGATGCAGTCAGGTAATTACAAACCAGTACATTCTAGTGGCCTGTTCATATACTGCAGAGATATTCTTCCATAGGTATGAAACAAGCAAGTTGATTTTTATCCATCTCTGGATTTACATGCCATGGAACTGTCTATCTTTGCATATAAATAATGTTACATGTCTATCCAAGAATAGCTCAGTAGGAGACATTTTTAAATTAATACTTTTAAGTTTCCTTAGGTGATAACATAATTGTGTGAAAGCATTTTGGAACAGCTACAGCTTGATAATGAGATAGCTAACTTCTGCCATTTCTTTCTCTCACCTCTGGTGGATAGAATTCCCATTTCCAACGGTTCCCCCTACTCTGCCCCCACCAAGGACAAAAACCAAGACTGTTTCCGAAGGCAGGAATGTCACCTTCCGCTGTGGACAGAAGATAATTCATAAAAAAGGCAAAGTTTAGTAAGTGCACTATCACTTATTCCAGTCCTTTATGAGACTTTGCAGTTCACATATCAAAAAGGACAAGGAAGGATGACAAAACAGCATAAGAAAGAATGCAGTTTATCTCCTGGAGCATGTCACTGGCTGTTTGGCAGCCAGAGTAGGAAGAGGGGGTCTGGCTAACTGCAAGAAGGGAGGCTGCAAATAACGTTCATAACGCTGCAAAGCATTAGTCTGGAAGTAGAGCTACAGGAATGAGCAAGCTAGGTTGAAAAAGGATAAAATCCAATTCATATATATAGCACAAAGGCCCTTCTTACCATCCAGTCAATTTCCCTGGCCCACCTTCTGCAAAAAACTACAGTCTTAAATTTACCCTTTCAATTAATAGTTTGTTAGCTCTTACTAATGTGCAAGCATGATATTTCTAGATGCATCTGAACTTGAGAGAGATGCCCAAGTCCAAGTTAAGTTTAGACTGACAACGCACATTCCCATCAACTTTCAGTAAGATTCAGGCTCCTAAATTACTCAGGATGGGGCCCTGGACTAACTGCCATCCTCTACCTGAAATACATTGTAAAACTTGACCTTGTTTGAAGTTCTGTCTGTGCTGTACACTTATTCTGCAAAATCTACTAGGAGGAAGAGCCACTAACACATACTGCATTTTACTAGTCCTTCTGTAGTTTAATTTCTATTATTTTTCTTGTAACAGCTGGTATAAAGATAAGGAGCTTCTGGAATACTCCTATCCAGGTTATTTATCCTTAAATGAAGATCACATGAGCATCATTGCCAATGCAATTAATGAAGGAACTTACACATGTATAGTAAAGAAAAAAGAAAGAATTTTGACTACTTATTCCTGGAGAATCAGACTGAAGCACTAACAAGGGCCCTGGAATGAGCACTTCAATTACTGCTAGTTCTGTTTCAAATTTAAAATGTTTCTTTGGCATTTTATATTTAATCTCCAGTAGTACAACTGAACCTCTGAATCAGCTGCTTCCATACCTTGGGCAAAAGAGACTGAGACTTGATTACTGGAATGTAAAACTTTTCCAAATTAGCTTTAATGATAAGGAATTTATCAAGTATGTGCTATACAGAGGATTAAAAGAAATTTTTTTTAAAGTGTCAGATTTTGCAGTTAAACTATATGGATCACTGCAGACTGCTGAAAAACAAGGAAACAAGAACATAACTGTTCATCGAACACATGGATGGACAGATTTGCAGTGGAGGCAGAAGGATAATGGAAGGAAAATGGCCAGTTATACTCTGTAAGTTTTGCTGTCATTTTTTTAGATTGTGGTGCATGGCACCAGGAGAACTTACAAAAGTGTGTAAGACCTAATATTACTTTTTCTTTTACTTGTCAGAAGGAGGATGCAGGGTCACAATTTTTTGTGACCCTTTCCAATTACCACATTCCACATTTCAGTTCAAACATCCACAGACCGGCTTTTTTCGCCCCATACCCTTTCCTGGTGTTTATTTATTACTCATGTACTCTTACCCCAGCAGCAGCTCCTCACACTGTGTCCTTGAGGTGTCTGGTCAATCAGCCTCTCGACTCCTCCGACAGCCCTGAGGTAATTTCCATCACTGTCTTCCCCCAGTCACCCAAGCAATGAGGTCAATGTGCCACAGCCAGCAGGAAAAGAGAGTTCAGCAGTGGGAGGCAAAGCCTGGTGCACTCAAATGTCTACAGCAGTGTGCAGTCCTGGGCACAGTCAGGAATCCCTCCACAGTCGTTACATTTAGCAAGATCCTTAGCCAGTGTTAAAGCAGCCTACATTGCTCTGCTGAGCTTCATCCTTTTGCAGTTGTCCTCTTAACCTCTTCAGACAGGTTTCTTTCTAGTTAAAAGCACCAGCAAACCTGCAGAGCATCTCACCTGCCACAGTCTAGGTCAGCCCTCCATGACCACCTCTCTACGAGAGCTGGAAGGTGCAATCGGTAAAATCCTCCTCTGTTCTGGGACAGTTCTACCAGCACAGTTAGCTGAGCATAAACCAAAGTGTAAAACAAAACTGCATCTCTGCATGGGCAACTCAGCTCAGGCCTGTAGCAGGTGAGCACTCTGTGCAAAACCAGACAATTGAGACGAAAGCTGAGATGCAGTAACTGAACAATGTTACACTACTCGGGGAGAACTGGTATTTCCCTTCTACAAAAAAAAGTTACACAACTCTCTCATAACCGTATTAAATTTCCATTGCAATCCAGCATTAGGTTTTCTTTGTTTTACTAACACTGTCCCAACTCAGATGAATAATTGTTTGTGTCAGGAATATGGATCTTCCACTGCTGCCCACACTGGCTGCAGCAAGGCCACAGAAGCTAGGAAGGAAGCAATTTCACAGAGCACAAGATGCACAGCACAGCTTGAAATACAAAGTAAGTCATGTTCTAATACTTTAGAGCTTAGCACAGGCCATGGCAAAACAGCTCTCCTTTCCTCTATGCTGTGGGATGGTGCAAAACTCTGGCTTGCCAGTGGGTTATTAATCTCCACCTAGGAGGAATCTCACGCAGCTCATGCCTACACTTCAGTTGATGGACTAATACTAGAACTGTCCCTCCTTCAGTATGAGGCAATCAATCACATCCAAAAGGAAAACAGTTATACATTCCTCCACGAAACCCCCCCACACAACCGACTGCTTACAAAATTTACCGTGATGTTAGTACATCCACATTCCAGTTCCAAGGCTTTTACCAAGAAAACTCTTAATATACTGAAACTGATAGGATGGTTATAATTTAAGTTAATCCTTTACTGGGCTGGTGCCCAGTTCTGACTGCCTGAATACCCCAGTATTCTCCACATCTTCCTGTTCCCAGAAGAGAATGCTGGCCTTCTAGCACAGCGACTTGAAAGGAGGGGCTATTCCAACAGGATTCCTCTGGATTGTCATCTTGGCGGAAAAGAAGACTGGAATATGGCATTATACCATCAGTAAAGCTAAGCTCTTCTTTTCATGGAAAAAGGGCATATTTAAAAGAATTTTCTGTAGAAAATAAAGTTTCAAGACTCCATATTAAATATTTTTGATTTATAAAACAATAGTATACTATGTTTGCACCAGTGCCATTGTAAACATGTCTCATGTATACAACACAAACAGCATTCAGCTCAGTAGTGCACCCAAAAATATTGTGAGTAGTGAACCCAACCCAGCCTAGCTCTCTCCAAGGCACACAACAGGAAAGAAACCTCAGAACTGCTGGGTTTTTTGCCATAACTGTAGGTCAGACACATACAATTTACTTAGACAAAACAACAAAAAAAGTTGTTTGCCCAGGCTGACAATATGCTGTAAGAGTGTCAGCACAGATGTGGGGACAGCAGGGGGAATAAGTTTCCACTCTAGAAGATTTAATGCTACCAACATCCAAGGTTGCTGCATGTGAAGAAACGAAATCCTTCACTCTGTTGAACAATTAAAAATGTATTTTAATTCTACAAATTTACAAGGAAAAAACCAAGACAAACCCAACAAAAAAAAAAAAACAAAACAAAAAAACAAACAAACAAAAACACAAAAAAAAAAAAAAAAAACAAACCAGAAACTGTTCCAGGATTATACTTCAAGTTTTCCTTTGTCAAATTCTGTAACGATCCTTGGCTTTTCAGGTTAATTCCAGTCCTCTAATGGAATGCAGCAGTTATACTCCACACCCAGCAGGAGCCTTTGAATCTGTGATGACATTTGACTTTTTCCCTGTGAAAAACATCTAGTCTCCCTGATGTGAAGAACAGAACTGGGGCACTCAGAAATCCACTCACATGAACAGTTTTCTCTTTCTTTTTTTTCCTTCCCTCTTTCATGTTGAGTTTAAAACTTGAGGCTGAAACCAGGTCCTGCAGCAGATGCTCCTTGATTGGTGGTGGTCAGGTGAAAACCTGTGTCCTTCAGATCATCATCACCCTGCGAGAACCAATCACAATTCATTTATCAGTAAGTGTCTGTGCAGCTGCATTTACCTCTCCAACACAAAAGTCTAAACACCACCACAAACAAAGTATCTCTAGGAGCTGGGAAACAAATGTTTGATTTCGTGGCATCATACGTAAGGTCAATGCAGAGTATTATTCATCATCTTTAACCACTGCTACTGCAAAATCTGTTATCTTTGCTAAAGGTATCTCCAGAGTATTCCTAGCTTGTGTACCTACTTTTGACTGCACATGTAAAAGATGAGAAAAAATTGTGAACACATGGTGTAAATAAGTGTGAACTACCCTTACTCAGCATCTGATGCGACACAGTCTGCATAGCCTCCATCTCAGTTTTCATACCCTGAAGAATCAAGGCTAAATAAACTTTTCAGGCTACTTTCTCTGTTAAACTGGGCACCAGACCTGTCCAGCGCCCTTTCATCTACGCTGACTTGGGACTAGAATTAAGAAATGGATCTAATTAAGGCACCCGAGACCATTACATGCTGTACTTACAAGGGCAGCTTTTTCAGCCAGCTTTTTTCAAAACAGGCAGCACAATCACCAGCTAAAACACCAGCCTTAGCTTTTTTCAATCCTTCTCCAAATACTGGAAAAAGACGACTTTCTATCCACAAGATATGCATAACTTACCAGGCTTTGGATTTTTTTTTTAAAAACAAAATTTGCAGCTTTGAAAGCTTAGCTGGTAGTCTAAAACAATGTACACTTTCAACAGAAAAACTGTTCGGCACTGTGGTAAAACCAGGCAGCATTTCTTTCTCAGATTACCTACTGACAATAGGATTCTGTGAGTCCAGCAGTAATTGGCCCTGCCCTGTGAGAGGAACAGCAGCCAGGCTGGATGCTGTGGTGTCTTTGATACGAGTACAGGTGAGTCGCAGGATCCCAAGCCCCAGAAAGGACAACGCAGCCCCCAAACTTCCCCAAAATCAGGACTGGGATGTGCCTGAGGCCAGTGGCCTCCATCTGCTCTGCTTACCAGCTGACTGTATCCAAGGCCTCCCTCGGGCGGTCGGGGGCTAGTGCCACGCTTTACCCTCTGCTGTTCGCTTTTTGCTGGCCAGGTGGGAAACATGGAGGGGTCAATAGGAAGGGGAGTCTCTCGGAAATACTCATGCTTCAGACCATCCTCGGCAGTAATTCTTCTGGCAGGGTAGTATGTCAAAAAGCTGAGAAGAATTTAGAGAAGGAGAAGGGCACAAAAAGAGACAAATTTTAGCCCCAAATTTATAAATTCTTCAGAAACATGATCTAGACTGTTCTGATTTTTAAAAAAGAATTCTATTAATGGGCATGATTGCTGACATGGGCAATCTAACATAGCTAGGTGACTTTAAAAGCATTCTTCTTACATGAGCCTATAATTAATGAAATGGCAGCTGGAACTATGTATCAAAAGCACATTTTGTAGGCATCTGTTTACAGAGGTATAAATCAGACACCTAGGAGTAGTCAGGTACAGCTCAAAAGGGATCCAGGACAGCTCAATTAAACTATTTTTCAGAGTGGCTTTGCTGCTTAGATAAGACAACTGCAATTATATTGATACACCACAAAATCTTGTCATGTAGTGTTATGTAACTACAGCCTGTGGTTGATTATTTTAAACCTTTGGCATTACAGAAGTATGTTTTACTGTACTATTCATCCTAACACTATTTGGCCCTATGTAAACTCTGATATATCCAAGATTTGTACATGTAATGAGTTCCACTGACTTCGGTACATTTATGTGTTCCTGCAAGTTCCAGACCCACCTGAATACTGTGGTATTTGTCCTCCTTATCCATTAATATAATGAACACCTAGCACTGTCATAACCAGAGTAATTAAGAAGCAGATGACACTGATGTAGTATCTATTTTTACTAAGACAAGTTGTGCTTGGACTTTCTGAAAGGTTATCTAACTTCCAATAAATTATTCACAACTCATTCAAAAACCTGAGGCAGTATAATTCTTAAAAATTGGAAAGACTGAAAAGCTCCCTTCTGGAAAAAAAAAAAAAAAGTAGTGTTTTTAATTTTTTGAGAGACAAGTTCTAAGAATGATCTGAAACTCAGTCATTTACACTACTTCATGTCATAAAATTTAAAGAAGATATTAGGGGACAAGCCATTGTCAAGGTTTTAAAGAAAAATAAACCAGAACGCAATCAGAATGCACCAGCAGAGTTAGTTAAAAGGACTGCCAGAACATCAGATGTGACAGAACTCATGAACTTTGAAAATCTAGGAAAAAAACCCAAGATTGCTATTTTCCTAATTCTTTACTATGAACTCTAGAATATATTGTTTTTTCCCTTTTTTCGATCGTAACTTAATTGATTTAGTAAGAACCATCAGCAGAGTGGATGACAGCTGACCCACCACATAATTAAACACGACACGAATGAGCTGAAACTACTACTAAAACATTTTTCTGTTCTTCTAACATAGAGGTGTGCAAGAATAATCTTGGGCCTGAGGTTTAACAGCAGGTGTTAGGAGCATGGTACACTGAATAAAGCTGTTGTAAGAGTGAGGAATAAGCATTGCAAGGAATGCCACAGACAAACTTCAAATGCATCAGCATGTTTGACAAGGTTAAACGCACTGACACACGCTGCTTCACAAGTCATTTTGCACCCCTAACCCAGCACACGATCACCTTTTCCCAAGGACACCAAGAAGCTGGCACTTACTTGTTCATCAGGTCAAAGCCCTGATCAGAGAGGAGCGCTCCAAATCTCTTGCGTAGATTGTTGTAGGGATATTCTGTGAACGTCATCTTCTTTACTGCTGGCAGCTCGTTGTAACCAGGCCAGATCTTCTCGCTTGGAGTACCCAGGTCCTATAAATCAAAATACCTCCTTAATAAGCTCATTCGAGAGTGCAACCCTGCTGCTTATTCATTACGTCGCTGGTAAGTACCCCCCCAAAACAGATGAAACACAAGCCATGGTCTTAGCTTGCTGTAAGTATTGTAAAACAAGAATAAGAGTAATGAGCCTTTTGTTAAGGCTGAATCTCTGTCCAAGAGAAACAAGCGCTTTTAATTTCTTACTACTCTAGTGCACCTGTGCTAAAGCCAGCCAGTCAGAATCCAAAGGTGTTAGAAACTTTACCTTAAAAACTTTGTTGATTTGGTCAATTTCTGACTTTCCTGGAAACAGCGGTTTCTGTGTTAGCAGCTCTCCAAAAATGCACCCTACCGACCACATGTCTATTGCTGTTGAATATTCCTGAGAAGGAAGATATTATTATCTTAGAAAAGCAGTAAGATATTTTCACTGAGTTGTTTGAGGGGGGTGGGGGAAGTCAGGTTGTTGGTTTGGGGTTTTATTTGGGGTTGGTTTGGGGGTTTTGTTTGTTTGTGGGTGAGTCTGGGTTTTTTTTAAGGATTCTTCTACTCTGAACAGAACACATACAATCATTCCAACCCCCGAGACACAGGTCTCAACTGTATTTATTTAATAGTTTAAATTACCGTGAATTATGAATAATACCCAATACACAAATACTTCAGGGTGAAACGTAGAAGTCTCCACAATGCTGCCTTTCTTTTTCATTCACAAACAGATCATGGCAACTCAAAGCATTCCACCTTGCACTCTCTTTCACATAAATCCTTTAGCCTTTATTTTACCACTACAGCAATCTCCGCTTATGGGCACAAAACCTGGTCTCCAGGGTAAACCACCTTCTCTTAAATGAAGCCATTTCTCCTATTACAAATACATCTCTGAAATATAGCACAGGGCTTCTTTTACTTTTGCACCCATTTTTTTTTGGTGCAGTGGTACTGCAATATTTTTTTCTGGCATGGTTCTTGCCACTGAAGCCCTAAAGAACCCTCATTCCATCCAGATTTCAGTTATGAAACAGGTAAGCAGTAGAACACTGCCAGAATGTTGCTAGTACCTTGTTCTGCTCTCGGTTGTCACAAATTTTAGACTAAGGTTAAAAGAAAAAAAAAAAAATCCAGCTGCCTAAGATGACAGTGATGGTTTGCACCAATCCATGAGAAGTCCAGCAACACTGCCACAGCAGCATTCTAAAGGAGAAAAGCCTCCATCTGTCACCCACCCACCT